GGGGTCATTGGTTCCGCGCATCAAGGATGGACTTGCGCATGATCCTACAGCCAAGGCTCTTATGGAGTACGCCCAGCAAGGTAAGACTAGACGGTTTTAGGTGTAGGATAGTTTGTTGTACACCAGGGGCAATAGACTGTTTGTGCCGCAATATGGAAAGCACCGCAGGGAAGTTTTGCAAGAGTGCCATGATTCAAGGTAGGCTGGACATCCAGGAGTGAGCCGCACCTTGGCGTTGCTAAAGGACTAGTACTACTGGCTGCACATTAGGAACGATGTGGAGGCCTATGTGAAGACTTGTCTTGTGTGCCAACAGGACAAGGTGGAGCCCAAGAAGCCAGGTGGTCTCTTATAGCCATTGCCAGTGCCAGAGCCAGAGCGACCATGGGAAAGTGTTTCTCTGGACCTTATAGTAGGTCTACCTAAGGCAGAGGGGTTTGGAAGCCTCATGGTAGTGGTGGATAGGTTTTCCAAGTATGGAATCTTCATTCTAGCAACCAAGGAGTGCCCAGCCGAAGAGGTAGCTCGATTGTTCCTGAAGAACGTGGTTAAGTATTGAGGAGTGCCAATGATCATTGTTAGTGATCGGGACGGGCGTTTCACAGGCAGGTTCTGGATTAGTTGTTCAAGCTGTTGGGGTCAGACTTGAACTTTTCCACCTGCATGCATCCGCAGACCGATGGGCAGACAGCACGTGTGAATGGACTATTGGAGGTCTACCTCAGGCACTATGTGAGTGCCACACAAAGGGACTGGCCAAAGTTGCTAAATGTTGCGCAGTTTTCTTACAACCTGCAAAGCAGCGAGGCAACGAACCAGAGCCCATTCGAGGTTGTGATAGGTCAACAACCACTAACACTCGGTTTGATTGCTGCAGGTTATACAGGGCCGAATCCAGCAGCATACAAGTTTGCTAAGGCTTGGCAGGAGCAGGCTAACTTGTCCAAAGTCTGTCTACACAAGGCGGCAAAGAGGTCGAAGAAGTGGGCAGACCAGAATAGGCGGGACGTGCAATTCTAGGTAGGAGACTTGGTTTTGGTGAAGCTGCATCCCATTGTGCGCCACAGGGGGCTGCACAAAGGCCTAGTCCGCAGGTATGAGGGACCTTTCCGAGTAGTCAAGAGGGTAGGCAAGGTTGCCTACAAGCTGGATATACCACCCAAGTCGAGGGTACACCCGGTGTTCCATGTAAGCATGCTCAAGCTGTTCCATGAAAATGCGGGAGATCCAAGACGGGCAGAGTCAAAGCGTGCGCCATTGGGAGTAAGGGCCTCATATGAGAAGGAGGTCCACAGCATCATAGCTGACTGAGAGGTGAGACAGAAGAACTACCAACCAAGACATGAGTACTTGGTGCGCTGGAAGGGACTTCCAGACAGTGAGGCAAGTTGAGAACCAGCAGAGGACTTATGGCAATTTGGGGACCAGATCAGGCAGTACCATGCAGAGGATGCAATGAGGGCGTTGCGCAATCAGGTGGGGGAGAATGTCACGCCCTGGGCGAGCGCGCCAGGCACATTAGGCGCACCAGCATGCGCACCCTAGGTTGAAGCCCGCACACCAGGCGCACTGGCGGGAGTTTGTGCGTAAGGCCTTGAAGGGAAAGCCAAAATGCCCGCACAGCCTGTAGGCCAGCCCGCAAGGCCAAGGCCTGGCCTACATGATGCCCGCACCACATCCAGAAGGGCCCAAGAGGGGAGATGAGCGAGGGGATCTTCTAGAAGCCCTTAGGATCAGCAGGAGCCTTCTGGCAGATTTAGTTGACCCTTAGAATCAAGAGATAGAATCCTGATTGATTGTAATATTTGTAATTTCTTGATTTTAGCCTTGATTCCAGGGATTTAGCCATAAGTGTAGCTGGGAGCCTCAACTATAAATAAAGGGCTGCTCCACCCTCATTTGTACATCCTCATACACACTTCTGTTTCAGTAATACAGAGCATATTTTCAGCAATTATCTTGTTCTTCTGTTTCTCTCAAACTTGCGCATTTTGCCCTTCCTATTGTTCTAGTGCTTGCACGCTTGTGTTTTAGGTTGACTTAGGCTAGAAAGAGGTGATTCCAAGCCTAAGGCCGTACGGATTCTGAGTCTAAGGTGAGAGCCGTCACACAGTAACGTACTATGCTAGCAGGCCAACAGGAATAAACTGACCACCTGAATATTCAGATTCCTTCCACTTGCCCAACAGATTCACAAAGAAGTTACCACTGTACCTCCTGTACAGCAACTGCACAAAATTAAACAGTGTTATAGGAGTACAACATTAACAGTAGCCTTTTTCATATTTAACTTTCATATAGAGTATAAGAGGTAACAGGGAGATGAATTAAAGATTTGAAACAAGAGCAGATTGCAGGATGATAGGCATGTTGGAGGTGTAGAATAGCTTAATGGGATATGACCCTTGTTGTCCATGAGCATTTTTTTATCTTACAGGCAAAACCACACAGAAACCTTGGAAGTAGAAAAGAATAAGGAAGATCAATACTGTAGCAAGTAAATTTGTAACATTTGGAAGATTCTGCCAATTGAAAGCCTTGCAAAGTGCTCGAACTTTGTCCAACCTAGTTATCATTAGATGGAATATAGCAATGACAGCACCTTCAAATTCAGCTCCTCAAACACTGTTGATAGTTGTAGGACTAAAGGCTTTCCAGAATATGTTTTCACTGCACAATCAAAATAGGATTTAGGATAGTCATGTACTGGAATACATATCAGTTGAGTCAAAAATGGAAAACAATGTGATAACATACCAGATATTGGTGGCTATGAAAAGGGAGATCCCAGAGCCCAAACCATATCCCTTCTGGAGAAGTTCATCCAGGCAGATCACAATGATGCCAGCAAAGCAAAGTTGAATAATAATAAGAATAGCATTCCCAACACCGAGCTGACTGACACTGCCATACATACCAGACAGTACATATGCCACTGCCTCATCCACAGCAATCAGGATGCCCAACAACTTTTGAGCCCCATTTCTGTAAAGCACACATAAAAGCTCAAAAGATTATAATATGCACATAGAAATCATAAAGGATAGATAAAATATGGTCTGAGCTATCACAAGCAATTACCAAACCAGTAAGGCACAAAAAACATCAATAGCATAAATATTGCTACATGTTATAAAAGAGAAAATAGCTGTTTATCTAATCCAACTATAGAAAAAAAATGAAGTATAATCCCAAGTTCCATAACATTACCACGGTTCGGTGCAAGAATAACACACATCCAATAGAATGGATCAACACCTGTCGTAGAATGTATGCCATAAAGTGGGAGCTGGCTGCAGAGCAGAAAGATGAAAAGGAAGATGACAGTGTAGATGACCTTCTCTCTAAGGGGAACTTTCCTGTCAGCACTCTGAACCTCTGGCAGAAATGAAAGGAATGGTCTAACCAGATGCAGCACTCTGAACCCTCCTCCCATATTGACTATTCGGAACTGAACTATGCCACCAATTCAGCAATTGTTCGTTAGTTAAGGAACTGGCAACAAATATAATGCATTTAAGAGCAGAACCGGAAAAGAAAAGAGGTGTATATGAACAGATTGTAATCAGGCCAGAGTAACCACAGCTATCATTGATAATCAGAATCAAGAAAAAGCAAATTTCCATGAATTCTGCTAGAGTTGAAACATTATCCTAAATTTCAGAAAATAATTCGAAACCCGAATATATGATTCCTTGGATAATTAGTATCCTACTTGACCTCAATCTATAAATCATTCATTCAATTCTTACAATCAGAGCAATGATTACATAGAAAGAAGCAAGCATGCATAAGTTCTGAAAAACCGTTCTTATACTCTGCCATATTTGCATACCAAGTGCAAGAAGAAATATGCGAGGAACCCATGAGGTAAAGGTTAAATGTGGATGCCTTGATAAAAGAAATAAATTTAAAATTTTAAAATCAAACAATCAATAAAGATACAGTTGAAGCGCTCATCACATTATTAACCAGTATGAATTTGGCAGCAGACTGATTAATTCAATCTAAAATTAAAGTCAACAGTAATGAACTAAGCTCTCATCCATATTAATTACCAGTAAGACTACAATTATGTTTAGCATCCATTCAACCATTAATCATTAACTATTGAATCACATCAAAACACAACATCATGATTACGATTTTTTTAAACTGATCGGTTCAAATCAGATAAATTAAAAAGAAAAACCGAAATAAACTCACACTTATTTACAGATCAACCAAAATAACAACAGATCTACAACTTTATAAAGTAATCATTTTGTAAATGCAAATCCAGATCACGAATTATCTCATTTTCCAGAAAAAAAATTTCTCAATAAACAGAAAGAAAATGACTTGAAAAAGAATGATAAGAAAACAAAAGGAAAAACAAAAATAGAGAGAATCGGAGACATACGATAAGGATTGAGGATCAGACCAACAGTCAAATAAGGGGTCCGAATAGATATAATTCGAGTAAAGTTCACATAGAAAATGTTTCGGATTTTTCAAAAGAGAAGGCCCAGTGCTGGGTTCCAATTGCAAGAGAAAAAAAAAATCTGCTGCATTTTATCCGATAGCGACTTACCACGTGTATCCGAGACTCTTTAAATGTTTTGATTTGATTTGATTATATTATAAAATTTTCAAATTTAGTTGATTTAATTTTTATATTTTTTTAAATTGGTACGATAAAAATTAAATTTTATTGATTTGATTTATTTTTTTTTAATTTTTAATCTTATTTTTAATATAATTAAATAAATTTAAATTAAAATAATTATTTTATTTTATAAAAATTTAAAATACATACAAAAATTAATAACAATTATAATTTAACTCAATTTTTTAAATTTAATTTTTTATTCAAATTTAATATATATATATATTTAATATTTAAATTTAATATAAATAAATAATAAAATCAATTCTAATCAAACTAAAAATTATAATTTTAAATCAATTTTTTGTTTTTTTTTTTTTTAATTTTACCTTGCTTTGCATTGCAAAAATCCACGAAACTTGCAATCAAACATGGGATCGTTCAAAAGGGCAAAAACAAAGGAAAAGTTTGAAACATTATTAGTGAGTCGAATTATACAATGTTGGTAAAAAGTCACTTCTTTACAACTATATCATTCCAACGAGAACGGCAAAAATTTAACACATGGGTTACTTTTTGGTACCATATTTCAATAAAAAAAATCCTTAATTTAAAACATACTCCATAATTAAAATCTTCGATTGGGGATGGGAACCAAAGAAAATCAAATCAAACACTTTTTTTTTTTTTCAAGATTTCTACAAAATGAATTTGCATGCTCGGACGAACGGACACGCCAATATATTGGCATCATGTCCTGTTTCCATAGATGTGTGTTTCTGAGTTCTTGTCGGTAACAGATCTTACTGACCCCCTTTCTTTCTCTAAAAATATACTTTGTACATTTGTAGTAACACACGGAACACTTCAAAAATACTGCACTCTCTCTTTCTTTAAATTCTTTCAGGAGCTCTGTGTATCTCTCTGTGTGTCTTATGAAAAGAAAGAACTCTGTTTCTTTCTCTGTTTTTTTTTTTTTAATTTTTTTCGTGGGACTATCGTTTTCTTTTGAAAGAGTGCCCAGGATTGTTAGTGAAAGAACATGTGAAGTGGGGTGGCGACAAAGAGAGAGAGAGAGAGAGAGAGAGAGAGATCTATGGGGGGTTCTGAATGATAGGAATGGTTCATTTTGCTTTTGGGGGTTTATCAGGTGAATGCAGTTTCCTGTTCCTCTTTGCCTTATTTCTCTTTTTGCTTGCTCTTTTTTAGGACGTTGAAATCATGGGTTATTAGTCTCCAGCTTTCCTTTTTTTCTCTACTGCCCATTTCTTTTCCAAAGCTATAATCTTTGAGGGATTGAAAGCTACAAGATTGAAAATAGTTTCTTTTGGCTTAGATTTATTTTGTTCTATTATTTGTTTTTGCATGTTTCAAGTTCTGGGTTTTGTGCCTTTAATCTCATGCATAGAAGTTGGAAACTTTTCTTACAAAGAGCTCTTCTTGCTTCCTTGTGGAGTTAGGTTGCAGCTCCGGGGTTTCAAGCTTGAATTTTTGGAAGTTTGCCTGCTTGGCTTTCTAATCTATTGCTGTTACTTACTTTTTGTTTTGTACTTGTAGATTGTCTTTATGTATGATGGCTAGCATCAAGGGCTTGTTGTGTTTGATGGGAAATTTTCAAGTTTGTGGCTTAATCATCTCAAATTGGGTTGCCCTTGTAAATAAATGCTTTGTTTTTGAGGAAAGATCTGTGAGAGCTTCAAGTTTGGTAGTTAAGACAGTTTTGCTGAATAATCTGTAGGATGCGAGGAATTTTGGTGCTTTTTAATAGCCATAAAAAAGAGAGATTTGGGGCGTGCGAGATTAATGAAAATGCAATATATTTTGGTATGTTTCTTTAAGTTAAAAAAGATTCTGCAATCAAACACATTAATTCTCTGATCATGACAAGAGCTGTTCCAGATAGGATACTCAAGGATGTGAATGCTGATATCAGCGATCATCTAAACAACCATATTCATTTGACTAATTGTATCCACCTGAAGAACCATATGCATACGCATAGCCCTATATTGGCAGAGGGATCACTTATGAGGGACCTTATAGTCCTTCAAAGATCACAATCCCTCAGGGACCCTTCTGCCAGTCCTCCTTCGTGTCACTCACCTAAGTTGCCTTCTGTTGTTGATTTGCTTTCGAAGAAGGGTGATAAGGATGCTGTCTGGGAGGGGAAAAGATCTGCGGGCACTGAGAGGCAGAGGGATGGAAGAAGGATTTCAGTAAACTCACCTCCTTTAGCTAATTTGGCAACTTCAAAAGTTGCTTCAGGCGAAGCTAGTAGGGTCAATGAAGGGGTGCCAGCAGTTAGTAAACGTAGTAGTAAGAGTGGAGCTAGAGATAGTAGAAGAATTAGGAGAGAAGAATTTAGTTGGAGAAGTAATAGGACTGATCTTTTCGGTGACAATAAGGAGCAGGATGGTAAGGATTTGCCTCCCGATGCTATCTTGGGTAATTCCAGACTGGAAGATGGCAATAGTAAAAAACAAAAAGGGAAGCAAGCACAAGGCATTCGAATTATGCCTCTATCTGAGCAGTTGAATTACCTGCCCCTGGATAGTGATGATGTAGCATCCTCAAATGTCCACCTTCGTGGGAGGCATATTAGTACAGAGAAAACTGGTAGGGAACCTGAAATCAGCATCCGTGGTTGTTCAAGTGGATTAAACAGGGTGAAAAGACACAAGTTTCGAGGGGCAAGAAGAGTGAGGGCTGCGCCTTCTTCTAGAGAGTTTGGAGGTCAGAATGAGTTGTCCATGGCTTCTAATTCATTTGCTCAGGGTTCAGTGTGTCCAAAGTATGGTGTGGAAGAGGAAGAAAATGAATATGAAGAGCAAAATGTCACTAAAGCCCCTAGAAATGGGTGTGGGATCCCCTTTAATTGGTCAAGAATTCATGACAGGGGTAAAACTTTCCTTGACATTGCAGGAAGGAGTTTTTCCTGTGGTTTATCAGACTCTAGACTAAGGAAAGGTGTGGCAGGTTCTCATGGAAGAAATGCTCCCGAAATGCCTATGGAATCTGATCAATCAAGCTTATCAGCAAAATACAATGCAGAGGCACTGCCTCTTCTAACTGAGGCATCTGGATCTCAGGACAGCAAAGAGAATGCTGGTTGGGTGAATGACTATTCAGGGGAGCTAGGTATATTTGCTGATAATTTATTGAAGCGCAATGTTGATTCTGATCTTGCTTCTGAAGCTAGATCTGGTGACCAACACAAGTTATGCGGGAACCTCCGTGGCAGGCACCAAAATCTGACACAAAAATACATGCCAAGAACTTTTGGAGACCTTGTCGGACAAAATTTGGTATCACAAGCCCTTTCTAACGCTGTCATGAAAAGGAAGGTCGGATTGCTATATGTCTTTTATGGACCTCATGGAACAGGAAAAACTTCCTGTGCTTGGATATTTGCCAGAGCTTTGAATTGTCAGTCACTTGAACAACCCAAACCTTGTGGCTTTTGCAATTCTTGTATTTCACATGACATGGGTAAGACTCCAAATATAAGGGAAGTTGGTTCCATCAGTAATTTTGACTTTGAGAGTATTATGGATCTACTTGATAATATGATAATCTCTCAGCTATCTTCACAGTACAGAGTTTTAATATTTGACAACTGTGATACTTTGTCCCCTGATTGTTGGAGTGCCATATCAAAGGTCATTGATCGAGTCCCCAAACGTGTGGTTTTTATTCTTGTCAGTTCAAGTCTTGATATTCTGCCTCATATGATCATGTCCAGGTGTCAGAAATTTTTTTTCCCGAAACTGAAGGATGCAGATATCATTTATGCTTTACAGTGGATTGCATCCAGAGAGGACGTTGAAATTGAGAAAGATGCACTAAAACTGATTGCATCTCGATCAGAGGGATCGCTGAGGGATGCAGAGATGACACTTGAGCAGCTAAGTTTGCTTGGGCAGAGAATCTCTGTTCCTCTGGTTCAGGAACTGGTGTGTCTTCATAACCTAATTAGAACATGGTATAATAATTGATATCACCATGCACTGGTTAATATTTTGGCTTTCAAATAGTTCGCTTTGAAAAATGCTCTCTGGTTGCTTCCTTAATCCAGCAGTCTCCTTATATTGCTTCAAATAATTAAATGTTCATTGTATATTCCAGTTGAATTATTCTTCTAGGTGTTGTCACTATTGCTGTGCCTATTTACTCGACTTTTTACTTGATCTAATCCAGTTGTTCTTTTATTTTGTTGACTTGAGCTTTGATACATGCTCTTATAATTCTAAATTCTCTATATCATCGTTTTACTTGTGATTTCTCAAACAGAAGACAAGGGTGGTTTTGGCTTCTTTTCTTATTTAATTTAAATTTTGATTCACATTATGAATCTTTATTCAATCTTTTTCACCTAGATAAGTGTGGCTGTCTTAAATGACAGTCTTTTCTGAATATTTTGGGCTGCAATTTATAGTTTTTCCCCTTATTTATGATTTTGTTATAATCAAAGTTACTTCTGCATTTGATCTTTTTATTTTTTGGTTTTTTTGTTGGATACGTCTAACCTGGGTAAGTAGTGACACCCATGTCCCCAAGTTGAGAAAAGTAAACAAAGATGACAAAGATTTATGTAATCAGCTAATATTCTGCATACTATTGCTCTAAATTTTATGGATCTGATTTGCAGGTTGGGCTTATCTCTGATGAAAAGCTGGTGGATCTTCTTGATCTAGCATTATCTGCAGACACAGTAAACACTGTAAAGAGTTTGAGGGTGATAATGGAAACTGGTGTGGATCCTTTAGCTTTGATGTCACAGCTTGCTACAGTGATAACTGATATTCTTGCTGGCATTTATGATTTCTCTAAAGAAAAGCATAAAAGGAAGTTTTTTCGAAGACAGCCATGTGAGTCTTAAAAGAGAAAAAGTTTTATTTAGTTTACAGTTACTAAACCACCCATTTCCTCTTGAGTTCCAGTAGTAATTGTGTGTGTATATATATATATATATATATATATATATTATGCTTCCCCTAAAGTTTCATATTTGCATATCTTACTTGGTGTGACTCTTTTATTCTTATTATATTTTTAAAATATTTGTACCATCTTTTATATTTTTCAATCCTTTTTTGGCTCATCAACCTTTTGCCTTGTGAAATTCTGTGACTCTTAGATTGCAGCCTAGTAGAAAAACAAACAAACAAATAAATGAATAGACAAATACTCATTGACTCTTTTTGTGTTTAAATATTTATCTTTCTTCCAAACTGATAGAACGGATTTATGCAATCCAGTGTCCAAAGAAGATATGGAGAAACTACGCAAAGCTTTGAAAACGTTATCTGAGGCTGAAAAACAACTGAGGATGTCAAATGATAAACTCACATGGCTAACTGCTGCTTTGCTTCAGCTTGCTTCTGATCAGCAGTATATGTTGCCTGTTTCTTCTGCTGACACTAGTTCTCATCATAGTCCCTTGCCTCTAAATGATGTGGGTGGAAGAGATACAGCCAGGAAAGGTGGTGAGCCTGTTGGGCTTGGTAATAACTCGAGAGGGCTGTCAACAAATGCTAGGTTGGAAAATCTCCATGCTGGAAGTTCAGGGGATTTTGAAACTGGTAACATGAAAGGTATAAATTTAGATAGGAAGAGACGTGCTGTGGCTAGGATGGCTCCTCAGCAAACATCCATAGTCTCTGCTGATTTGATCAGGGTTACTGGGGGGCAGACTGTAGTAAAAAACCGTAAGGGAATCGAAGAAATTTGGTTGGAGGTGCTTGAGAAGATTCAAGTTAGTAGTCTAAAAGAGTTTTTGTATCAAGAAGGAAAGCTGATGTCTGTCAGTTTTGGTGCAGGTACATCCTAGTGTGCTTTATGCTCATTTCACGTGCCTTGATCATACAGCTATAACATACTTTTAAATGAGAATTGTTGCCAGCTACTTAAATTACTATGAACAAGAAATTTTAGCAACTTGAAGCCATAATGCATCGGCCATTGGCATTTAATGGTTCTATGGAATTTAATATTCGTGGCCAAGGCAGAATAAGTTGTCCCAAAAATTGATTTCAAGTGTTCTTTCTCATCTAGATGGTGGCTTCATGAGCCTCCATCCAAGTTTTGCATATTAAGTAGACTCAAAATTTGTTCTTTTTTTCCCTCTATATTTACAAAGATTTCTTGTTATTAATATCACCTCTATCAGCAGCACTTAGAAATGTTATTATAATTTTACTTGAAATGAGACATTGCAGAAATAATGCTTCTCCTGTGCTTAGTAATTATAGGTGTCTCCTCCCTTTAATTGAGTGTGCTTTTCTTTCAGCTCCGGCTGTACAATTGATGTTCAGTTCACAAATGACCAAATATAAGGCAGAGAAATTTGGGAAGCATATTTTACAAGCGTTTGAGTCTGTTCTTGGTTCTCCTGTGACAATTGAAATTAGATGTGAGGTGAAGAAAGATGCCAGAGCTGGCATTCGTGGACTTCTTGTTTCACCAGCTTCCAGGGATGGTCCATCTCAGATGGTCATGGATCCAGAGTCTAATTCTGGAAATGTGATGCCTAGGGCAGGTTTTGACAATATTAGCAAAAGGGCTATGAGAGGTAGAGATGCCATGGTCAGCTCTCACGCTCGGCTGTTGCACTCCGAATCTCTTGAAGCAGGAAGGAGTGAAATTGTTGAAATACCAGCTTCTCCAAACGAAGCCAAGGTTAATGAACATGCTGACAACATAGTATCTAACAGAAGAGATTCAAGGGTAGCTGATGCTGCAGCTTATAGGAAATCAACATTGGCATCTAGCTCAGGAAGACGGAAACTTGGGGAACTAAGTCAGAGTCAGAGCATTGTTAGAAGTAAGGTGTCCCTTGCACATGTACTTCAGCAAGCAGAAGGATGTACACAGCGAAATGGATGGTCAAAGCGCAAAGCAGTTTCCATTGCTGAGAAGCTTGAACAGCAGAACCTGTATGTATATCTGGTTCCACTATAAATTCTCCAATTATGTCAGCTTCTGTTTTATGGGTTGGAGTTGCTTGATAAATTGTTAAGCAGCTGAATCTCTTGTTTGATTATCAAAACTATGGTAGGAAATGTTGGGTAATCCTTGTATATTTTTACACTTTTTATTCATGTCCCTCAATGAACTTAAATTAGTTATTATTCACTGAAGGATCACACTATGATGAAAAATTAGTATACACTGGAATTTAATCATTTTCTGCCGTCTTAAACTAAGAATTGACTTCGTATTTGTAAATTTCAGGAGATTGGAACCTAGGTCGAGAAGCTTGCTTTGCTGGAAAGCATCTAGAGTAACCCGTCGGAAGGTTATTAATCTTATATCTAATCTTCTTAAATTGGCATTATTCTGATGAAAACAAGTGATCATTTGTTCCAACTTTTCTTCCTCTTCTAACCTTCGATAATTTTACTCTGTCCCACAGCTCCCACGCTGGAGGATTAGGACACGAAGACCGCATTCATTATTGAAGCTTGTCTCCTGTGGTAAATGTCTCTCTTCTAAATCTCCTAGGTAAGACGAGAAAAATTTTGGTTGGCTGTGCATGACTTAATTGAATTCATATTACATTTGTAATTAGCTATTTTCTTGCCGTTTACAAGGTCAATACAATCTGCAAAATCTTTTTCCTGGAATAAATGTATATAGTTCTTTTCAATGACAAAATATAGGTACGAAATTGGATAGTGAATTTTTACTATCTTTATGCAATCATTAATGTTTTGTTAGGCCTTCTTCCACTTCCATCCAGAAAAGATTGATTTCAACCTATTATGGTTGGATGTGGATTTGATTTCCACGATCAATAGCACTTATCCATCAGTTCATGATAAATACATACATTATTAAATTGATATCATGGTTTCTCAAGAATGATTTGCATGTCAATATGGATGATGTTTACATATTCCTGAACAACTTGTTTGACGACCAAAGCTTGACCTCATACCAGTGATTGGAGTTTCTGATCGGAGTTGATTTCGAACTCATAAATTATGCATCCCAAAACAAGTCTAACAAGATGTGGCAGGGGAATTGGGCTTACCCTTGAAGATGGCTAATCAGGGTCCAAAAATCGAACGATCCCACGACCCAAATCCTTAGCCTTATGTTAAGGACATCAGTTTCGGTTGTTCCAAACGTTCAATCTTCATATCAAACAAAACAAGTTGTGTAGAAACATTTTTAAAGCATTTTCAGAGTTCACATTTTATGTCTGAAAACGATTTGAATGAAAAAAACTAATATACAGTCCCTAAACCCCATCTTACTTTAAACTAAAACTTTGAAAGATATATTATAAAAAACTCAGAATTCAATTTCCTTGATTGAACCCTTTTTTACTCCATGCAACCATTTCAAAGCTACCATTTTTTTCACGCTTGAAAATGATGTTTGAACTTTGAACCCTAAATCCCCAAAAAATAAAAGATAAAAAGAAAACTCGCTTTCTTTTCCATGGAGTCCATCCCATTTATTAAGTACTAGCATTTTTTGACTTGGGGCTGTCTAGCAACGTAACTATGAATCACAGCTTTGAAACTTGTAGAGGTCGGCTTGTTTGAATCCGGAAAACCAAAAAGAAAAAAAAAAGCACCCCCCATTGCAGCTCGTCTTTTCTCAATACCAAACTTGTATTTCTTCATAGCAAGTCCAAGGTACTTGTTCCCATTCCACAAAATTATTCTCCGCATCATTAATATCTTTGAATGAATCTTTCGACATTCAAGTTCACACACCAGAATAATATTCTTTCTGTATAATTTCCATTTTCCAGCTATACAAACATAGAACGAATCCAATTCATTTGAGACCAACTTGACTTTAGCAAGCTTAATAAAAATAAATATAATAATTTAAAATATAATATTATAATAAAACATTACGATGTAAAAATAAGATAAAAAAATAATATGATTTAAAATTTCAAAAAAAATTAAAAATATATTTTATGAATTCAAATTAACACGTAATGTGATATACAAAATTTAATATTTTATATTCTATGAATAAAAAAATCATCAAGTGTATTAAAAAATGTATTAAGACTTCGGACATTTAATTTAATAATTAATACGTAAAATAATTATTGAACTAAAAAAATATTTAATGATTAGTAACTTAAAATTTGAGGTTTGGGGAAAGAGCGTACAAACCGGTGTGTGTCATTGTCGAAAGTCCAAACATTGCTTTGATTTGTCTTTTTACTGTTGACCGCACTCTATACGTGGCGTGATCGTAACCGACAAAATCATCAGCAACTTGACGATGTGGCTTCCAACTTGCGATCGCGGGCAACGGTATGGACTATGTAGAGTACACGTGGAGACTATAGTTCAACAATGACGGTTGAGCCAGCTATATCACGGATTGACACGAAGCGCTTGATGCAAGACTTCCGTGTTTTCCTTTCCTTTTTCTATTCAATGGCAAAAAACAATAGAAATTTTGGCGATGATTATGAACAAAGATCAATTTAAAATGGCATTTTTCGATTTGGGACGCGTTTTCACACCATTTTATCACCGCTTTGTTTTATTATCTAAATAAATTTTTAGATTAAGAACGACCATTAAATGAAACGAAAATGTTAACAAGATTTTTTGTTATAATGTTTTCTTTATTTCATCCGATGTATATAATAAAACATAAATATATAATATATTTAAATGCATGTACCTAATTCCAAATAATTATTATGGCTTGCGTAATTGGTAATTGAGTAACACGAAAGAAAGTATTTTTGTTTTTATCTTATAAAAATATATTTTAAATTGACGTAATTATTTATATTTTAAAATTAATTTTAATATACAATCGATATAAAATTTATAAATTTTTTTTAAAATTATAAAATTTTTTTCACTCCGATAAAATGTTTATTATTGTTGGTAATACGTAATTAATTGTGAGATTTATAATTTATTTTTAAGATCTTTTTTAGTGATATATAGTTAATATTTTAGTATCAATTTGTGATATATTATTTAATTAAATTTTATAATTTTATTTTATAAAAAATATTTTATAAATTAAAAATAATATAAATATTTATTTTTTAAAATCAACTTTAACATGCAAATCTATATGATATTCATCATTTCTTTTTAGAACCACGATACCCCGCATGGCTTGTCAAATGAACCAAAAACGGAAATAGAGGTTTGGCCAAAACTATTGAAATAGCTGGTTTCGTGCATTCCAACACAAAACCGGCTGTTAAGCCTAGTGGAATTGTCCATTTCATTCAAGTCGTGGGGGTTGGGGTTACCTTAGAAGTTAGGATAAGAGTGTAGGCAAAATCTTAAAATTAGAAATTTTATCAGTTTCTGGAAATTTCTGACTAGAAAGGCAAAGGACATCTTCATTCTTCCATGCAAAGGCAACCACATATTCATTATGGTCATTTATTTTCTCTAGGCTTAAGTTTCATATAATCGGATGAGTAGGTAGCGGTCGTCTGCTCAAATTTCATTTCCCCATCAAGCCATATGAAAATGAGTTCTTCTTCTCACCAACCAAATTTAATAAGAGTTTAGATTTCATCATACTTTTAATACAATATAATTAAATTTATTGTATAAATTTTATTATAAATTTTTTTAATAATAATAATAATTATTATTATTATTTTTTTTAATTTTATAATCCATTTAAATAAATTTTTATAAATTTTCATTAATTTTCAAAATAAAAGTTGATGGCATGTTCCAACTTCCAACTTTAACTTCCCATCCATTTAATTTACACTGTCACTTCAATTTCTTTTACCCTTTTTCATATGATTTTAAAATTACACCGTTTTTCACTTTTATCGACAGTGGTTAAGGGGTGACATTCTAAATTTTGTCCTAATTTTTTTTTTTTTTACACAATTAAATCATTAAGTCTGAACGTGCCCTTTTTTTGAACTTCTTGCTTTGCGTCTGTTTTGAGTGTTGGATTTGCCTTTTAAGAGGTCAACTTGCCGTAATTGTTAGTCAAAGTGAAATTTTTTCTTTGTGTATGCCAGATGGATGTTGGCAGGCAACTACAAGGATAATAAAGCTAACCCTCTTCTTGTAATGACTCCAAAGTCCACGCGCCTAAAAGTCGCGTGGGCCCAGTGCGGTTTTTTTTGGGTCAACCCTTGAAGGCTGAAGCAAGTCTTATATCCATTTTTGGCTTTGCTTTAAATGGCAAATGAAATGTAATCATACTCTGCCAGCAGAGATTCAATTGTAGTTCTCCTAATAAAAAATTAGTAATAATAAAAGGATTTGGAAATTAATAGAAAAAGTTTCCCCTTTTTAGGGTAATAAATTTTTTTTTGGTAAAAAAAATTTAAAAATGATACATTATTCAATTTTTTGAATTAAAATAAGATATGTTATATTTAATAATTTAAAATTAATAATTATAAATTATGTATTAGAGATAATTTAATAAATAATTATTAATAAAATTTAAATTTAAAATTTTTTCGTAAAAAAAACGAATCTTAATCAATTAAATTAATTATTTATTGATATAAATTTATTTTTATGATATTAGGCTAGTAACAAATATTCACATTCACAAACATGAATAATTTTAATAGATGCTATTATATTTTTTATTTGCAAAAATTGAAATGTCTATGGTTTATTATTTGAAAATAATTCTTCTTCTGTTTCATTTTTTTATTTTTTTAATATTTAATATTTTATTTTTTATATTTTAAAATTATTTTTATGATTATTTTTAATTTTTTGACATTAAAAATCATACAGTTTTAATTTAATAAAAAATTTAAAATTTAAAATTAAATATATTAAAATAATTTTTTTTATAAAAATTAATATATAACAAACATTTTGAGAGGAAAACAATATCATTAGTTGGAATGATGTTTTATTTAAATATTTTTTGGGATTTCGACTAAAATCAAGTATAGGAATGAGGCTTTAAGATTATAATATTTCAATTCAAATTATACTTTAATTAATTTATATAATTTCAAAAAATAACATTAAGTAAAATTTAAAATTAACTTTTATTTTTTTTTCATATTATGATTTTTCATAAAAAAAATTATTTTATTATAAAAGTGGAATATGATGATTTATGCATGTTAAAGTAAAACTAGTTATCCAATAGAAATTGCCAAATGTCAAATGCCAACAACATTGTAAAGCCAAACTTCTACAAACAGCCGGCAAGGAACAAGAAACAAGTCTAACCAGACAAAGTGCCTCACTCGTTATTCTTTAACGTCCCCAAAGTCCAAATCCTGGAAAAATTTAAACCCCCCGATTGAAAAAGTACCGTCCTTAATGGTTTACGAAGCCTACTTTTACAAACCAACTGGTAAGATAACCAAAGTTGTACGCATTTAAAAAACCACTGTTTAAACAGTAGAGTAGAAGAAAAGAGAAAGGCAACGAGTGGACAAGAATCTGGATGATTATCCGTCAAAGCCATACAAGTCATTTTCACAGCAACTGCATTGAATTTTTTAGAGAGAGAAAAAAACTCAAAGGAAAAAGGAGTTGAAGAAAGAGGAAATATAAAAAAGAAAGAGCTGTTCATGGAAAATTCATGCCCTTTTTCCTTCCCCTTCCTAGACGCGGATTTGGTGTTACACAAATCTTCTCTCTCTTGAAAGAATGCCCCTTTTTTTGCCTTTCACTAATATAAAAATGAAGCTTGTTTTTGGTTGAAGACCAAATCTTGCTATCATTTGTATACAGCATCCTTTGCAGATTCAACCAACAACCCAGAACTAGAATAAGGCTAAAAAATCTTGGGTATTTTTTTTTTTTTCATTTTCTTTTTCTTTGGCTTCTCATTTCATTTGTTTGTTGCAGATCTAATTCTGTTTTAGCCAGAGTTGGTTCCCTTAAGACCCTTGTTTTAGAATTCAACTTTGGAGTTTATTAACCATGGCAACAGCGGCTATATTCTCTTCTCTTAGGAGGAGAAGATTGCCGTCTTTAGAGGCTTTCTTGGCTCCCGTTGACTTAACAGATGTAGCTCTTGTTCAAACCCTGGCAAACATTTCATCTGAGCTTGTCTCTTGCTTTTCCAACAAAGCTTTCTTCTTTCAGCGAAGAAATTCTCGATCTTTGATTAGAAAGATGGAAATTCTCGTTGTTCTGTTGGAGTCTTTGAGGGATTCAGGATCAGGGTCCATGTCCATGTCAAGCCTGCCTTCAACAGCCATATTGTGCTTCAATGAGGTCTATTTGTTGCTATATAGGTCAAAGATACTACTTGATTATTGTGCTCAATCCGGTAAGTTGTGGCTTTTGCTCCAAAACGATTCAATTTCAGGCTATTTCCATGACTTGAATCAAGAAATCTCTACCCTTTTGGATGTTTTTCCAATAAAAGATGTTGAATTGAGTGATGATGTCAGGGAACAAGTTGAGCTGTTGCAAAAGCAGGCTAGGAACGCAAAATTGTATGTTGATAAAAGTGATGAGAATTTAAGGGTTACGTTCTTTTCATTTCTTAATGAGTTTGGGAATGGGAGGATACCAAATCTTGTGGAATTAAGGTTGTTCTTTGTGGAGAGATTGGGGATTAGGGATGCCAAAAGTTGTAGGTGTGAAATTGAGTTTCTAGAGGAGCAGATTGTGAATCACGAGGGAGATATTGTACCTACGGCTTCTGTGCTTAATGGATTTGTTGCAATTACCAGATATTTTAGGTTTTTACTATTTGGTTTTGAGGAAGATGGGGTGCAGTTGTCTTTTGGGAATCAAAAGAAACCAAGAAAAGGTTTGATTATTCGTGAGATTGCTGATACGTTTTTAACTATTCCTAAGGACTTTTGTTGTCCAATATCTTGGGACTTGATGAGAGATCCGGTGATAATTTCGACAGGGCAGACTTATGACCGGAGTTCGATAGTTAGGTGGATGGAGGAAGGGCATTGTACTTGTCCAAAGACAGGGCAAACGCTCATCCATACTCGCCTTGTTCCTAATCGAACTTTGAGGAACTTGATCATGCAGTGGTGTACCGCTCATGGTGTTCCATATGATCCTCCAGAGAACACAGATGCATCTGCAGAGTCTTTTGCTGCAGCTTTGCCGATCAAAGCAGCAACTGAAGCCAATAAAGCAACAGCAACACTTCTTATTCAACAACTAGCGAATGGATCTCAGGGAGCTCAGACTATTGCTGCTCGTGAGATTCGCTTGTTGGCTAAAACAGGTAAGGAAAACCGTGCTTTTATTGCTGAGGCTGGGGCGATACCACACTTACGGAGGTTGCTGTCATCTTCAAGCCCTGTTGCTCAAGAGAATTCTGTTACTGCAATGCTGAATTTATCCATTTATGATAAAAACAAAAGTCGAATTATGGATGAGGATGGCTGTCTAAGATCAATTGTTGAAGTCTTGAGACTTGGGCTCACAACAGAGGCTAGGGAAAATGCTGCAGCAACATTGTTCAGCCTCTCTGCAGTTCATGACTATAAAAAGAGAATAGCAGATCAGGAAGGGGCTGTTGAAGCCTTAGCTGGTTTGTTGAGAGTGGGGACCCCAAGAGGGAAGAAGGATGCTGTGACTGCTTTATTTAATTTGTCCACTCACACGGACAATTGTGCAAGAATGATAGAGGCTGGAGCTGTTACAGCACTCGTAGGAGGTTTGGGAAATGAAGGCGTTGCAGAGGAAGCAGCAGGTGCATTGGCCTTAATAATCAGGCAGCCAATTGGGGCGGAAGCAGTGGGGAAGGAGGAAAACGCAGTGGCAGGGTTAATAGCAATGATGAGATGTGGAACACCAAGAGGGAAAGAGAATGCAGTTTGTGCATTGCTTGAGTTGTGCCGCAGTGGTGGGGCTGCTGCAACTGAAAGAGTGCTTAAGGCCCCTGCATTGGCTGGTTTACTTCAGTCTCTGTTGTTTACAGGTACAAAGCGGGCAAGAAGAAAGGCTGCGTCACTTGCTAGAGTGTTTCAGAGGTGTGAGAATGCTCCCTTGCATTTTGGTGGATTGGGTGTTGGATACGCATTAGCAGGCAACTCAACTACAAACAATTCAAGATTCGCCGGTGATGTGTCAGTGCCTATGTCCATTTCAGTGTTGTAATGGCAACATCACCTTGTGGTGTTGTCCTTCTCGCCTATATAAGTCCCCATTTTTTGTTGGTAATATATTTTACAAATTCTTTCATTGAAATTTCAGATGATGAGAAAAAAAAAATTTATAGAAATGAGATACCTGATCTGTTGTGGGAGAATGATAGAAGTGTTGTCCAGCAATGTAGCTTGATCATACATGTAATGGCTGGTGAATTAGATCTCAATGATACAATGATACTGAAAAAGACTTACAATTTCATGACAAAATAGCACTTAAAGCAGCTTTAATCTGCATTTTGCTAACTAGTTTCATGCATCAAATGCTTGTCGCACGTGGAAACTAAAATTGTTTGATTTGGAATGTTCCATTTGCCAAAGGTACAGGATGATTCTTATCAAAAACATTAAGTCATTTTATTGGTGGCTTCTTTTGTACCATCCCATTGTCTGACCTTCAATTTGTGATTTTTCTCCATATTTTTGCAGCAAACAAATAGGTTAACATAAGAAAGTTATTAAAATAGCTTCCTGGTCCCAGTTTTAATATAATAGGACGCGAAAGAGCTTTACTACAAAATCTTGTTTACGCCTTAAAATTGGGTTGTTTGAGTTTGAAGATGTGGATTCTTCCACAGAAAGCGAGAAAACAGTGGCAACTAAGCCTCCAAACTCTTGCTGAAATTGGCCATTCATTTGTAGCAGTTCATGAGCTGTAGGCACATTGAGTGGTAAAGTTTGTAACTTGCTTTAAGCTTTCCCTTATTACGCGGTTGGACAAGATTCATAGTGGCATCATCTCTTTTTCTCTTCAATATTCTGACAAAGAATCTGAGGAAACTTAATTTTTAATCCAGAACGAATATTGGACACTGAGTCAGAATTCAGAAAGTATATAGTTTCTATTTGCTCTAAAATCACATGCCACATTAAATGAAGCATCTATAAAAGCTAAGGGAGTAAAAAGTCATGGTTTGATGTTGATCAGATATAATGTTACCACAAACCATGAGAATAAGACATTTCAACTTTTTATTAACTCATAAGAATTACTTTATGAAGATTCCTAGGAATGGCAACAAGATATTTCAACAATGGGGAACTTTCTGGAGATTAAAGTAGTGGTTGCCTTTGCAAGTGATGGAAGATTTAGACTAGTTTCTCTTCTTTGAAATAATAGCTTCTACTATTATCACTTAGTGGCAACATTCATTATGATATCAGGTGACACCAATGGCTTTGCTCGTTTCAGATTCTTATTGCTGATACAGGTCATCAAGCACTACTGATACTGGGTGGAAGGTTAACGATATAAGCAGAAACTAAGTTCAGGTAAAGGATTAACATCAGCTAGATGACAACTTAGTATTCCAAGATGATTTTATTGTAAATAAAATTTTTGGTACTGGCCTTGTTCAGTGGGCCATCCCTTCAACATAAGCATGCTATTCTATTTTTATTGAGCGGAAGTGGACGAATAAGTTGGCAACTTACTTTGAAAATGATTGGAGTATGTCATTTAAAAACCTGTGGTGGAATGATAGAAGGTGATGCTGCTATTGAGGTCAGTAATTGTTGCAATCCGACATCAATGATTATTATTTCAGGTAGTTGTTATTCTATCTAATGATCTGTTCCACTTCTTTATTCTCTCTTTCATTTAATTTTCTATTTTCTGGAATACCCTAGCCTCACTTCTAAAACTCAAAAATGGGGAGGTGAAGGGTAGGAGCAAAGAAAATTAGCCAAAGAAAAAGGGAAAAAGATTAGATAAAAAAGGTTCAACTTGAACAATCCGGGTTCCAATAATTGTTGATACCAATTACCCATTAGAAACATTGGAAAGAGATTGAAAATTGCATTTCAGGACAACACATGAAACACATGCATGTAAGTGCTACATTGTACATTTGAAGAGTGCCTATCTGCCTGGAGATGCATTAATGTATGTTGCTTGTATAGCAGACATAACCACTCCACAGCCTTATCTTCTTTCTATCAAGTGTATTAGTTGACAGGGAACAAAGTTTCAACTATACATTGATTATTGTTGTCAGTTACTGTCATTTTGTCAGTGTGACCGCCATCTCCTCACCAGGAGTCGTCTTCATGGCTGATTTACTTGCTTCAATGGCATATTCAGAATTCTAGACTATTTCTATCTTTTATTGCTGCAATGTTTAGGGTTTGATGGCCTGCGGGAGCTGGAGGAGAGCGCTTACTGCTTATAGTTATAGGACCCATAGACATGATTACTGAGTGATGAGCCCACAGATTGCATTAATAATTTTAGTGGTCAAACTCATTAAGTGCTGATTTTGGATGCAATATGAATTTTTCCAATTAGGCGGCCAATGCCTTAGCAAATTATGGTCACCACTCATCTTGTCATCATTGTGGCTTTATAGAAGTATTGATCTCAGTGATTAGCATTTAACCTTTTCCATCAAAGGGATTTGAGTCTTTGGTAAATCCCAGGGTGGTTGCTTCTCAGACGGTATGGATGAACTAACATTTTCATGGACTTTTTTTCTCAGAAAAAAAAATGTCTTGCGAAAATTTTTTTGCATACAATTTTGACTTTTTTTGAACCAATTCCTGCCAGAAAAGGGTTGATGTTTATAGCTTTGGCATTGTAGTTAAGGTCGCTGCCCGAAGAATGCATGCAATTTCTCAGGTTACTCGTGAAAAAAGCAAAGGAGGATCAGCTAATTGATGTTGTTGAAAAGCTGTATTATGAGGAGGATGTGCAACTATAAAGGTCACTAAAGCTTTTGTTGATGTTAATGGAGCAAGATTATTCGGAAAACAAAATCTTGCGCTAGGAATGGCACCAAAAAAAAGGATAGAATTACTTACATCACACTACAACCAGGACTGCAGAAATCGAAATAAAAAGAAACAGAAACCAGTCCATTTCTTTGTGCATGTTGCTACATTAAGAATTTGACTGAACTGGCTAAAGTTAATCCCACCTCATTTTGCTTACAAAAGAGAGGAAAACGACTAAAAGAGATTAATCCTTCAAATCATCGAAGACCATAAAAAGGACAGATTGTTACATTAAAGAGGAAAAAGAAAACTACCCAAATCACAAAAAACCAAGAAGAACTGCTTATTTTCCTTTTACAAAAAACCTGCACCCGTATCGAAGCCCTGGTAGCTGTTAGCATTGCAGATACTAAATTTGTAATCTCCAGTTGAAAGAACACTTTGCTTTAGGTAGTTCTCATAAATGAACTTGGTTTGTTCCCTCAGATAGGGACCAAGAGGGTCCCTACTGAGAATATATTTCTCTTCAAGAACATGCTACAAACCATAAAGTGGAAAAAGGTTCGCAAGGAGGTCACAGGATTCAGGGCGGGTTTGAAAAAAGAATCAACAAAAACTGGCACTAAACCAGTAAGAAATCCACGTTCCTATTTAACAGCCTAACTGTCCCCTAACCGCTAGAACCCTCCATTACATTCAAATTCAGTTTTCGTGTCAGCTTCCCCCTCTCTGTAGTTCCTAAACCTTAACAAATCAAATATTCTTGGCCCAAAAACTAGGCTTCAGGAATTTCTCCAGGTGTTTAATGATGAAGTGGGAAGGAAAAAAAACCTTCTCCATTTTCATGCTCGTTTCACCTTCCTTCATTTTCTCGTGCACTCCCCACTGCATGGCTTTCCACATTCAAGCGAATGAGCATCAATTCTGAACCAAAACCTGAAAAAGATTAGCAAAAAGAGATGAGAAACTCTGTGTCAGGGAGTTCAACAAAATTTGCTGGTGGTGGAGAAAGATTCTATGGTGGGGATGATGAGGTTTTTGGGAGACTATCATTTGGAGAAGACAGTGCTGATGGCAAGAATAATAAAGTGTGTCCCGATCAGCCAGTATGATTCAGAGGATGTACTAGATTTTGCACCCTCAGGTTATCGAAACTGTGGATCAAATGCCACGGGGACAAAGGAAAAAGAAGAAACTAAGAAATTAAGCAATGTGGCTTGCAATGTAATGAATATGAAAGGATTTCGAAGGGTTTCACAGATTTTATCAGAGATGAATATGAACAAAGGAGGAATGATGGCAGTACTTAAGACACCAAGGAGCAGGATGTTAACAGAGAAAGACTTGAAGAAGACAAATGAAAGACCTATGGAAGAGAAAAGTTGAAAAGACAAAATGAATCAGTAGAAAAGAACACCTTGCAACTGGAACCTGTGAGAACAATTCCAATAATTGAAAGGGAAAATCTGAAGTTAACTGGTGGTTATCAGAGAAAGCATCAACATCTGTTTACCTTGAATCTAAGAACCTCTAGTTTAATAACAAATAAAAAAGACTATGCATTTACAGCCCAGAAATAAGTGGAAACTGATGTATTTTCTCCAAAAAAGTTGGGTTCAGAAGGGGAAAAGTGGAAAGAAATTAAAATTGAAAAAGTGAGAGTGAAGAGTGAGAAACAGAGGAAATCTCTTAACATGAGCAGAGAATTACTAAGGAGAAGAATGAAGCAAAACAAGAAGGTCCACGTTTTTTCTCCAAGAACTGCTGCCAGAGTGGAAACCTGCAAAATCAAAGCTCTTGAAGACATGAAGAAGGCTAAATTGAAGTGAAGGCAGCAGAACCAGAAGACAATTAGCAGAAGAACCAGATTAGAGAACTTTGCTGTGGTGAAATGCTCATTTGATCCAGAGAAGGATTTTAGAGATTCAATGACCGAGATGATCAAGGAGAAAATGATCAGTCAACCAGAAGAACTAGAAGAACTCGTGGCTCGTTATCTGAAACTAAATTCTGATACATACCATGATCTCATCATCAAAGTATTTAAGCAGGCATGGTTCAACCAGGATCAGGCCAGTTCTGATACTGACTTACAGAATGAACAATGTTCCTATGATTAATCATTTTCTAAGTGATGATGACCAAAATTGTAAATGGCTTTCTAGTTTCTACAGCTACACTTACAACATATGCTTCTAATTTGCTTTCAATTATGATTAATCATTACCTAAGTGATGATGACCAAAATTGTAAAGGGCTTTCTACTTTCTACTGTTACACTCACAAAATATGCTTCTAATTTGCTTCCAGTTACAATTTTAGCTTTAAATTCATAGTTTAAGAGTCCGTAAGTTGCTTTTAAATTTAATTTTTGGCTAGAAGCGACTTGACAGGCAAGTAAAGAATGCAAGAAGAAATCCACCTTTACTTACAGGTTTATGACCATATCTCCATCATAAGCAAATTCCTTAGACATTTTCCTGTACTGCCTCATGCTTTTCTACAGCAACTTCATGATGCACCATATTTGCTGTCGGCTTTTTTTTAGCACTAATCTAGAACAGGGAACATCATATCCACTTTCCAGCAGAATGGATTGATTTTTCATAATTAAGTAATTTCTTTTCAGTAGTCTCAACAACCATTTCACAACTACTAGAGCATGGTACATGCTACAGAGTTAGTGACTTACTGCCACGTTACTTGTGTCCAGTGCAATATCTTGGGATAGCATAGCTACTTCTCTGAAGCAAACAAGACTTTAAACTTTTATTAATGTCAGATTTGATCAAGACTCATTCCTTCACCAGCTAAAAACTCATGAACAGCACCATATACTTCGATCATGCTACATCCAGGTTCCTTATTTATTTTCAGGGCCTTCATCTTTTTCCTCACCTTCAAAACATCATCCCATCTTTTTAATGCAGCATATGTATTTGACAACTGAACATAACCAGCACTATCTTGTGGGTTTAACTCTAAGAGCTTCCGAGCAACGTGCTCTGCCATTTCCACATTACCATGGTTTTTACAGGCACTCAATAAGGACTCCCAAAGCACAGGAGCTTCTTTCAGTGCCCTCGTTTCCACAAGGTCCAAAGCCTCCTCTAATAATCCCACCCGACCGAGGAGATCCACCATGCAGCCGTAGTGCTCAATAGTTGGTTGAATTCCATAATCGTCAACCATGAGTTGGAACATATGACGTCCCTCATTTAACAATCCTGCACGACTGCAAGCAGACAGAACAGCAATAAAAGTCACCTCGTTGGGTTCAAAACCTTGCGCAAGCATCTCTGAGAAGGTCTCCAATGCATTTTCTCCAAAGCCATGCATCCCTAAACCAACAATTATGGAATTCCATGTACTAATATCCTTCTGCGAAGCATTTCTAAACACATTTAGAGCCTTACCGATGTTCCCACATTTTGAATACATGTCAACAAGAGCTGTAGCTACAAAACCATTGGTACCTATCCCATTCTTACCAATATAAGCATGGATCCATTCACCTTGCCCCAAAGCTCCAAGATGAGCACAAGCAGACAACAGATTAACCAATGTGCAATTATCCGGTCTCACTTCCTCACGCTGCATATCTTCAAAAAGCAGTAAAACTTCACCAAAACAACTTGTATGAGCATAACCAGTAATCATAACATTCCAAGACACCGCATCTTTTGCAGGCATTCTATCAAAGATACTTCTAGCTTCTTCGAGTAACCCGTTATTTAAATATCCTGAAATCATAAAATTCCATGACTCTACATTCCTTTCCTCCATTTCATCAAAAAAATCACGAGCCAATCTTATAAATCCTGTTTCAATATAAGCACTCAACAAAGCATTCCAAGAAACAACATCCCTGTTAGTCATTCTATCAAGCAAATTCCTCGCAACTCCAAAGTACCCACTTTTTCCATACACATGAATCAAAGTATTTGCCACAAAAACATCAAACCCAATTCCCATTTTCAACACCTGAGCATGAATCTGTCTCCCTTCTTGCACCCCACCAAACCCAGCACAGGCCTTCAAAACAAAAGTGAAACTATACTTATCAGGAAAGACGAGGCCTTCAAGCATCTGACGAAAGAGAAAGAGAGCATTTTGAGGGGTACGGCTATTGGCATAAGCTCTGATAAGGGAATTGTAAGAGAAAGAATTTGGGTTAGTAATGTGAGTGAAAACGGAGTGAGCATAAGAGAGGGTGGTTGGGTCAGGATTTGTAACAGCAAAAGAAATGAGTTTGTTTGAAGCAAAGGTGTTGCTGTAGAAAAGACCAGTCTTGAGAAGGTGAGCATGGGCTTGGTGGATTTCAGAAATGGAAGTAGCCATTTCTGTGAAGGAAAGAATTGGTGGCTGAGATAATGTTCCACTCATTGTCGTCCAAGTCAGCTATTTTTCTGTCTGTGAGATAAAAAACCGAGCTTGAAGGAGAGGGCTTCAAAGATTTTTTACTTTTAAAGTCTGCAGGTAGAAGAAGATATTTAGATACGTTTCACAATTTGTGCGTGTCATATAAAATGATGATAATTTATATATTTGTATTATATTTTTTATAGAAATTACAAATCAATATAAAAATATAAATTATATTTTTATTTTTATTTAATTTATTTATAATATTTATTAAAATTTTAAATTACATTCTTTTATATCTTTGATTCCTATTGATTTTTGTTTCATTTGAGATTGTCTATCTATTCCGTACCCTTTTTTTTTTCTGATTTTTTTCTTTAGACCAAATAATGAATTCGAGATCTTTGGTTTTATTCAATCCTAAATTTTCAGTCTTGAAATTGATATTAATATTATTGATTAAAATCCAAAGTTTCAAACTTTAAACCTTTCATTATTGACTTAATCCTCTGGTTTAAGGTAGAGGATTTTTTAAGTAATGAATTTGTTTTTAATTACTGAGAAATAGGCAAAGCATGTAGCTTGGCATTTTTTTTCTTTTATTATAGTGGTTGAATTGTAGTAGTAAATAAAATGATTTTTTAATGTCTTTTTTTTTTCATTTCATTTGCATGATTAAATTAAAATTAGAAATATTTATTTAATTCATGTGCATTCTTTTAAAAGCATCAAACTCCAAAATCTCAAACCAGCCCAGACGTGTTCAAGTCCTCAATTACAAATCAGGTTGGACCAAACGTTGAGCAAAACAGGAACCGAGCCAGCAACCATAGATACTTTGCTTGTCTTCATCTTTAAAATTGCCCTAACACACCGGAAAATGCTCAAAGTTACTTACAGCACATGATATGGTTGATATTCAGATGAAAAATCATATTTATCGATGTCAACAATATATGATCTTATGGTTCATATCAAAAATAATATTTAATAAATTTAAAATTCAAATTTCAACACGATAATTTTTTTTCTTATCTTAAGCTGGGGGTAAAAATAATTGGAAACCTTTCTACTACCGGAAGAAGCCACGGTGCCATTCGATACACTCCATTCTGCATGCAACAAAATAATTACTATATATGCCATAAAATAAAGATATTAGCATGCCATAAAAATGCCATTATTTCTCAAGAATATGTGCAGCTGAACTCAACTATGTTGAAGCAGTCTAAAAAAAGCTATGACATTCACACTATATAGCACCTAAAAACTAATGAACAAGGGAGGTGTGAACATTAGATCATGGCATGCTCAGGGAGATGACCTCAAACATAAATTATCTACTTATTTCCACATCAAACCAATTATAACTAAATCTATTACATCTGAAATATTGAGGCATCAAAAGCTGGAAAAAATAATCAACCAATATCAAGTTCTCTCTGCAGGAGTAAGATGCCCCATCTGTTCTGCAAGGTTATTTACATTGTTCATATTCCACCAAAATCTGCCATGATCACCAGGTTTGTTTCCATTCTTTCTGGCATCTGAATCTTTTCTTTCTGACAGAACTTCCAGAGTATCAGTTGAACCAGGATTTTCAGTCAAAAATTGTTCCCAGAATAAATCATTAACACCAGTTGTTGAAGGTGCAGTGGTACCCGCAGCTTGCTCCTTTGCTGCAATCAGCGCAGAAGCAACGATGGTGACAGGCTCGGAGTTCATGTCAATCTCAGGGGATTTAGGCCGACCATCAACATTAAGCTGCATGCAAGATTTCGCTTGGCTTTCTGCACTTGTTAATTCATCCAATTCTAGGCTTGTATTAAGTTGAACGTTTGTTTGACCAAAACTGTGGACCACATTCTCCCAAAACACCAAGGACGACTCTAATTGTTCAAATGGCTCCGTGTTGGACAATGATGTGCTATCTGCATTTTCTCTAGCAATTAGGGAACAACCTGTCTGATTAGCTTCAATCCCAGCTTCATCATATAAGTAAGCAATTCTAGGCAACCTTCTCTTTCTGTCATGAGCCTCCAATTGTGGTGTTTGATCTATAGCAAGTCCCGGATTCTGCAAGAATTGAGCGAAAGAAGACACCATTATTTGCTGTTGCCGTTCCATATTGTGCAACCGCTCTCTCAAAACCCGCATTTGTATCTCAAAGCCTTGCCGGTCATGTTCGTGCCTCTTCAACTCGAAAACAAGCGACTCTTTTTCATTCTTAAGTCTCTCCACCTCATCCCTTAAACTCTGTCTCTCTGATTCTGTTAATGGAGAAGCTCCTTGACCTAGGAGATGCTGCATGGAATGACTATGAACTGGTTTGCGTCTGTGTATGTTTTTCAAAAGATGAGGCTGACCTCTTATAAAATCCTCATTTGCAAATTCCCACTGCTCTGGATCAATTTTCCTGAAACCCTGCCAAAATTTGGAAATATTTCAATTCAAGCAACAATAATAAACAAAAAAAAGTAATTAATTTATAAATTTAGGGAGACAAAAACAAGTGGCTCACATATGTATTAAGCTGTCTGATAAAGCTAGAAAAGTTATTGTGTTTGAAGAATCTCGGAAGTAAATCTCTTGCAAACTCTGGGGGATTCCATACAATGAAACTTTTATTACTTGCACTCCAGGACACAACAGGATCCGTTGAAGGATCATCCACCATCTCATATGTCTTTGCAAGGAATGGAGGGAGCGAACTTGAGCTGCCCTGCTGAGCCTCATCCATACCAAAAATTCAATTATATGTAATCACAAACCCCCTAAAGTCAGTTCCCAGCAGTCAAATACCAACCAACTCCTATAATTTCCTCATAAAACGAACTCTCAGACGTTACAAACTAACATCCTCACCCCAACCATCAATATCAAACAAAAGAACAAACCTTTGATCACCCTTCTGTCATATGCAACCAAAGATTGCTATCAGCAACCAGAATCTATAACTTGCCAAAAGGCCTAATTCATGACTCTCAACTTCCCAAGTCTACAAATTTCAATCAAGATCAGTCCCTAAACAATAACATCTAACCTTGGATGTATGAAAAGAAACAGCTTTACTGACTTCTTAAAAAAAGAGAAAAAGTTTCAGCCCAATCAAGCAAAACCCTTAGACCCAAAGTTTTCAAAACCCAGATCAATAAAAGAAAACCCTTCTATCCTTGGACAAAACCCAGTCAAAGAGGTCAGCTGTTTCAGTTTAGCAAGCTAAAAATCCCTAAAAACTCAATTCAAATCCCTAAATTCTCCTCCAAAATTCAATGAAAGCAAAACGCTTTTGCCCACCAATCACAAACTCCATCTATCATTCAAGAATTATCCAGCTTCAACTTGAAAAAAAGAAACATCACCAACATCCAGAGAGAATTGAGAAGCCAAAGCCCACCAAGTTTTGAACCTGCAATAGCTATATAAAGCTCCTGTCTTCAAACCAAAGCCAAAATTAAAACCCAACTTTTTTTTTTAAAGGAAAAGACAAAGAAACTCTTTGATTCTGTTATCAGTTGGAAACTATCAACCATTTGACAAGTCATTAAAAAGTCCTTTTATTACAACATATGTTTTCATTTTCTTCGAATAAAAGAAAAGGAAAAAACTTGAAGCAAAAGCAACAACAACTAAATAAATAAATAACTGATGAATTCACGAGCAGTTAGTTGAGTTTTTATTACCTGAGACAGAGACACAGAGAAAACAAAAAAAATAAATAAATAAAAACACGAAGTTGCAGAGAAGATGATGATGTTGAAGACCCAGACTTCGAAACGCGAACAAAAAAAAAAAAAAACGAATCGTTTTTGAAATTTGAAGTTTTTTTTTGCCTTTTCTGGTTCGAGAATATTTTGGGATTCTCGTTCGTTCAACCGCGCGTGGAGAAATGTACGATGCTATAATTACTATTAAAAACAAAAAAAAAAAGGAAAATTTGTTACTAGTATTATTACGGGTATAATTATGATTGGAATTTAAATGTGGGTGGCATTGACGGAGAGGAAGCGTTGACACGGACGGAAATGATTGGCGGATGGAGAAAAGAGCCGTAAACATGTGGACATATTACCGTATGTTACGTTAGGGGTGACGTGGGTACACTGGTCAGAAAATCTCTAGATAAATTGGAAATTTAAGGAACATGTTTGGTGGTGGAATTTAAAATTTTTCAGAAATTTAAAATAAAGATATTTTAAAATATTAATATTTATAATTATTTTATTAAGATAGATATTTTATAAAAAGTATGTATTTAATATATTATTAGTATATAAATTTATGTATTATTAATAAATCAAATAATAATATTTTATTAATAAAATAAATCAGATACCATCTTATTAATAAATAAATTTTTTATATTTATTTAAATATGATATTTATTTATTGGTATATAAATCTATATATTAATAATGTATTAAATATAAAATTTTTATTAAAAAAATTTAAAATTAGTGAAATTTATAAATAAAAAATAATTATAAAAAATTAGAGATATTTTGAAAGTTTCTTTCTTTAAATGAAATTTATAAATAAAAATAACTATTAAGGACATTAGAATAAAGTTTTTATTTAATAGAAAATTTAAATTATTTTATATTTTTAAAGTTAAGAAGTAATTGAAAATTATTAAAAGTATTTATTCAATTTATTATTTATTTATTTTACATATTTATTCAATTTTTAGTTTTTTATTAATTAGTTTATCATATAATTATAAAATATTCTTTGTTATATTAAATTAAAAATTTTATTTAAAAAATGCTAAACAAAAATTGCTAAACAAAAATAAAAAAAATGCTGTGGTATGAACACCTTTGTCTCTATACTATAGTTATGAGGGCAAAAAAAGAAAAAAGAAAAAAGAAAAGGAAATCATGAATATAATGGGAATAGAAGCTGCGGTTGAAGATTCAAAATCTTCACTAGACTTTTGAGCTCCAGTGAAAAATTGAGGTAGCAGCACGATGAAAACAGCTTCACCACACCACAGTCAAGTAATCTAAATGAGATTCCAGCGTGATTGAAGGTGCCAACCGCACCACACCACAGCCAGCTGGTGATCTAAATGGAGTACCATTTACCAAATTTCTTTAGTGTAAGCACAGTCAAAGTACACACAATTTCTAGATTCATCCTCATTTTGGCACAAGCAGTACATGTTATCTATCTCCATTCCTCAAGATTTCAGTATGTCCTTCATTGAAAGTCTATGCAAGGTGGCCATCTAAGCTATCAATGAGTGTTTGGAATATGATATTTAAATCATATAAGCATATGCCATCCCATCTTTTCCTATTTACATCTTGCCTTATTCCACACCATTGTAATTGAATAACAACTCCATGGAAATGTCCATACCTTAACTCTATTTTTCTATTTAATGAATTATTAAGCAATTCACCTCAAATGAAGTAACTTTCTCCAACTCCAAGTACTGGTTCGTTGGCCTGTTACTTGCCAATACATAAGCTTCTAACCAAGCTATCCATATTGACCCTGCTTTGGTAAAGATGGACTAAAGATTCTTCATAATACAAGCTTGGTTCCGGAATAATATATCTTTTACTTCTAGCTTTCCTTCAGACTTGGGATAACATACTCCCTGTCACCTTATTCGAGCTCATTTGGTTATTCCTTCTCTCCCTTTCCAAAAAAATCTTGACCACAATTGATTTAACCTTTTTAATACATATTGGGAAGAATAAAATGCATGCACCAATAGTTTTGAACGATAAACAACACTGATTGAATTAGTTGAAGTCTGTCAACATACAACAAATCTCTTGCAACCTAACGTTTGATCTTTACTGTAATTTTTTCTAATAGAGATAAGTAATCTCTTTCAGTAAGCTTTCTAGTTACCAAAGAACTCTTTTATATCTGATTGGCAAATTACCAATCTTAAAGCCTAAGGCCTGTTGGATTGATTGGAGTTCATCTCTGCTAATCCCTATTTGGTAGAGTTTATTTTTCCCACAATTTAGTTGTAGACTAGAGATGCTGTAGAAAACTTCTAGCACTTCTTTTATTCCCAACAGAGAATTTTGAGTTACCTTTTGCAAAAAAAAAAAAAAAAAAAATCATCAACAAAGTATAAATGAGTTAGGCTTACTTTTTTATTGGATTAATGTCATGTATAACCTTTAAGTTAAAGTAAAATGTTTAATCTACCTAAAATTTAAAAATCTTTCATGTAGTATTTAAATTATGAATTTATTAACTAATATGATATTTAGTTTTAATGCGACTAATTTCAAATAAGGACACGTGATGAACAAACAACCTTTTAAGTATCACATTAATTGATAAATTTATAATTCATGTACTATATTAAATATTTTTAAAGTTTAGGTTCTATATTAAATATTTTATTATAATTTGAAGGTCATTCATGATACACCTTAAAAGAATGTTTGATATTCAATTCGAATACACCTTAAAAGAATGTTTGATATTGAGTAATTCGTTTAAAAAAACATGGTAATCTACACTTAGCAATTACATAACTTTGTTTGATAACAACTTAGAAGTCCCATGTCGAGGTGAACTTAAATCATTGGGTTAATAAGATCATTATCTTGAGGAATGATTTGATTCTCAACCTAAACCTATGTTTAAATTGAAGTTAGCAAATGAAAGAAAAGAAAAAGAATAAAAAAAGGAAAAAAAAAGGTTTCTAAAGGAAAGTAAGTGATAGTTCATTTTGGATAGCTAAAATGAGTTAAGGAAAGGAAAATAAAAGAAAATAAATGATTAATCATAGCTTTTGTTTGATTAATCATAGCTTTTGTTTGGTTAAGTACCGAAAAGGAAAGAAAATGAGATTTTATATTATATTGCTCCAATTATACATATCATGTGAATGATTTTGACATTAATTATTTTAATTTTTTTAAAAATTAATAAAAATAATTTCAATTAAAGAAAGTATTATTAATAATTAATTCATAAAAAATGCATGTTTAGAATTATTTTTATACTATTTTTTTTCAAAATTAATCTTAAATGAGAAAATTAAAAACTTAAATATTTATTATTAAGATAAAACTAACCATAAATTTGTTTAAGTATTAGCATTTTCTTATCATTGTACATATTTGATCATATTCTTTTATTTTTATTATTTAGAAATTGTAAAGTAATAACAAAATAAAAAAAAATTAAGATGCAAGCATAAATTAAAAATATATAGAATCCGAATTTATTGATAAAAAAAGGTAGAAGAATGAGTTGTAAAAGATTTAAAAGTAGTTTCAATGGCTAAGCTTGAATATTATAATAATATTTTTGAAAAATGATAAAATATAATAAGGACATAAAAATCAATTTATATTTAAAAAATTTTAATCATTTACTTTTCTTTCTGTTTACTCCAGTTTGGGATAATTAAAAATTAGAGCTTTTAAGGAAAAATGAGGGTACTCAATTTCCTTTTCTTTTCTTTATTAAATTGTAAATGATAAACCAAATAAAAGAAATATATATTTTTTATTTTCCCTGCTTTCCTTTCCTTTATTTCACATTCCCTCAATTCAACGTAGCTTAAAGGATAAAAAAGTTTTTATCACACATGAAAAAATAATTTTAATATTATTTTTTAACTAATTTATTTTTATGAAAAATATATATAACATTACTCTAAGAAGCTAACCACTAAATTTAAAAAAATCTGTTTTTTAATTGCTTATTCTAAAAAAAGTTTTATGTTATGAATTTATATTAACTAAAAAATAATGAATTTATTTAATAATTGTTCAGAAATTACTTTTATCAAAATTGATTAATTTTTGTAATTTTTTATAAAATAACATTTAATTATTTTATAAATTATTAATTTAATAAATATTAAAAAATATATTTTTTACAAGGTTATTTTTAATATTTTATATTATATGATTTATTTTTTTATATAATACTAAATACAATGATTTAAAATTATTAATGATTTATAATATTTTATTAAATATGATAATCTAAAATCATTTAAAATTAAATCATTTTGATAATTTTATTATTATAATAATTAATTTATTATAATAATCTTAAAATTGATATCAAATAATTTTATTTTTAATTACGTCTGCTTCAACACGTGGTCAGTATACGGATGGTTAGAACTTAGAAAACTTGAATAGAAATTGATGTAATGATAAAATAATTGGGGAAAGGTTTGATTTTCTTTGTTATGTTTATGGGGGCATTGTCTTCTTCTTTCTCCGAGTTTCGAGAGACTTTGAAACTTGGGGACAGAAGATGCCAAAACGTGACGCATGGTTGACTTTCATCCAAGGAGTGGACCCGAGTGGCCCTAGCTTTCAAGAATTGATAGTTGGGCCCCCGGTTAAGTTGATGACTGCTATTTGCAGAGTAAAGCCCATTTAAACCTTTCTTGGGTTCATAGTAGAATCCATTGGTGGCCCAAACTTTTATTTAAGGGTAGGCTGGGATGAGGGATCAAATCAAAGAAGCCCGATTGAGGGAGGTGGCGAACCGATGCAGAACAGGGTGGGCGGCCTTAACAGCGACCTATCAAAGTTGAAACACCTGGCGTCCCTAATTATGCAACTCACGCCCAAAAGCAAAAGACGAGAGTCAGGTCATCCTGGTGGTGGCCTCGCGTTAGAAATGAAAATAGTTTCAATCGGGTCAATTTGATTTAATTTTTTTTAGATAATATATAATATTATAAATTTTAAAATTTGATTTTAATTTAAATAATTTTTTTAAATCAATTTAAATTAAATTTCATTAATTTGATTCGATTTATTAATTTTTAATTTTTAAATTTTTATATATTATTTTAATAAAAATTTTAATATATTTAAATAAATTTTATATAAAATAATTATTTTTATTTTATAAAAATTTAATATATATAAATTAATAAAAATATATAATAAATTCAACTTAAATTTTAAAAATTTTTTACATTAAATTTGATTGGAAGTTATTATATATATTTAATATCTAAATTTATAATTTCAAAAAAATCAATTTAAATTAAATTAAATATTATAATTTCAAATCATTTTCAATTTTTTTGATTTTTTTTTTCACCCTTAGCCTCAGACATGGTGGGCATGATCAGTTGAAGACGTGGGTGTGGCTGAAGAAGCCATAGCATTAGTGGCAGATTAGAGAGATACAGAGATTTTTAGTGTATAATTTAGGAGCAAAACAGCCAAGTAACATACAGGGATTTATACAATACAGCACTGACACATGTGACAGTCAGTCAAACTCAGCCTGCCCACCGCATCCTCCAAGGCTCCGCCGCAATAGCCTCCGTGATGTCTCATCAACAGATCAACTAGCCAATTTTTCACTCTCTCTCTTTTCTTTCTATGATAAAACAAGAAAGAACTTGAAGCCATTTCGTTTTCTTTTTCCTCTCCCATATTATTAGTCTTGCTATCCAATTCTTAGCTTTTAAACGCTTTTGCCTTCAAAACGTTGCTTTATTTCCTTCCTTTTCAAAATGCAGAAACACGTGCTACCCCCGTGCGTGATCCAGGACAAAAGCTTTGCATAAGTGAGTGGCTCCCTCGTAATTTTATCTATCATTCATGTCCAATTTCACTCTCTCCCACCACAACCTCGTTCATTTAACAACACTTCCCTCTCCATGAAAACATATACAGAAAAATTAATATTAAGAAAAAGAAAAGAAAACCGCCAAATCCTCTTTTTTTCCTTCCCTCTCCTTTTGTTTCTCGAGAAAATAATACTACAGAATTCCATGAAGTAAAGAGAGGTTGACGACGCTGTTTCGAGGAGGGTATTGAAGCATGACGTCAGGGACGAGAATGCCGACGTGGAAGGAGAGGGAGAACAACAAGAGGAGAGAGAGGAGAAGGCGAGCTATCGCGGCGAAGATCTTCGCGGGGCTTCGAATGTACGGAAACTACAACCTTCCGAAGCACTGCGACAACAACGAGGTCTTGAAAGCTCTCTGCAACGAAGCTGGTTGGACCGTTGAAGAAGACGGCACCACTTACAGAAAGGTAAACAAAAAAAAAAAACCTTTTTTTTTATATGCGTATGTTAGCATAAAGGTATGGAATGGTGATAGACTGCGCCTTGTCTGTGTTTTTTACGATGAACGGTTGAGATTTGATTAAAACTGTAACGGTGTCGGTTAAGGAAGAGGAAAGCACAAAGCACGGAGGGTGTTGTCAAAGATTCGTTCTTTTCTGTTTATGTTTCTGTTTCGGCCTCGGTGAATCAAAAGGACGAAGGAGCTTTGTTCAGACAGCTTTGATCAGAACTTACTTTTCAATAAGACAATCATGCCCTTGGTCGATCATAAAAAGAGGTGCCGTTTTAACATTACCACCGACCTAGTGTAGCATTTCAGGCAAGGGTAGTTCCGTCAACTCGAAGACACCATCCCTCTCCTTAGCTACATTGAAGCTGGCACTTTGCTTTAATGCAACTGATGATGTTTTCCCTTTTTCTCGTAAAAATGCTTTTCCACGCTCGTCTTTTTCCTCTCCCAAAAACGTCATCAGCTCAGTTGGAGCAAAGAAGGTCACTTTGGTCATTTCCGCTTAAGGTTAAATTTTTTTCCCTTCAAACATTTTGCGGGATTGTTGGCTTTGCAATGCTTTTTTCTTCTTTTTTTTAATAGAAAATGAATGAGAAAAGGAGATATCGAATCCTTGGATTCCACTTTGGAGGAATTAAAGCGTGCAGGGATGGGCCGGTGGGGTTTTTGATTAAGGTTATAAGAAACATGTTGGAAGAGGTAGCATGTTAGCGTGGTGCATTATGCTTATGTAACGCCATTGTTTTGACGTTCGTTTCTGTTCTTTAACAAAGTTTTGTTGGTTTGCAATGACCATGTTGCCCAAGCCTTTTTTTTTTCCCATTAGATGTGACCCCAGGAATGGTTTAGAGCAGAGTTGTCGATACCGTTTCGGTACCGTTGGTACTGGCCGGCCAGTGCCATTTTCAGTTAAAACCGATACACAAATACCATAGTTTTGTACTTTTGTACTTTTAGTCAAAGTTGTATGTGTTGTCAGGGAGGAACAAAGTGGAGGTGATGGGTTAATTAGGTGGCAGGTGGAAAGTAGGTAAAATGAGTAGTCCATCACGTGAGGAGGTGGGGTTTAAGTTAGCAATTTTTTATAATTAGTTATTTAAAGGGTAAAAAATTATTTTAAAGATAATTAAAATTAAAATTAAATAAATAAATAATAGTGTAAATAGAATTAATTAAATGAAATAAAACATATTTGGTAAAAAAAAAAGAAATAAAACATATATAAGCATGAATACATTTACATATATATAAATTTATATAATATAAATATAAAAGTATCTAAAAATTTTCTTTGGCTTTATTATATGGTTTAGTATTAAATTATATATATATGAATGAAAATATAAATAATAAATTAAATAAATAATTAAGTATATATAATTATCAATTTTAACAATAATTAATACTTGTTATAAAAATAAAATTTTTTAATGTTATATTTATCATTATTAATTTTAAATATTATATATATTTGTTTTACATATTATTAGTAATAGTATTATATATAAGTCCATATATTATTGCATATTCATTTTGCATATTATTTTTTATATTTTTAAACTTATTTATTTGATATTTGAAGGTATTTTATATTGATTTTGTATATTATTAGTAATATTATTATGTACGAATTAATGTATATTTATAAATATATTAACAACCTTGGTTTAGAGACAAAAATGTCATATGTAATGTTTGGCAAAAGGAAGACTGGTAGTTAGATTCTATTTATAAAATGATTTTATGTTCATAATTCATCATGCATTTTTCTTTTCTAGTCTTTGTTGTTAAAGCCGAGTGGTTGAGGCAAGATTGGTCTTAGTAAAATTATAAAAGACAGTTTCTTGGGCCATTTGTAAAAGCTGTAAACTTTTAGGGACTTGAAGATTAGCCTGAGAAACAATTTGATTTTTTTTTTCTTATATTAAAATAAAGTATCTCTATTTTCGACTTTGACTTAAAGTGGTAATGATGGCTGTTGTGTTAGCTACTATGTGCATGAACATGAATTTGATTGTATACAGATACTAATAGTGAGGTCCATATCCCATGGGACAGCGAGAGGTTTGATCTGTTTTGGCTGTCGAGAGGATTGAAGGAATGATGTTAAACTGTTGGGACGATTAGCTTCTTGCAAGAAATTGATTGCTATCCATGAATATGTTTCGGCCACGATCATAAGAAAGTTAGGAAAAGGTCTTCAGAGAATTGTGTATTTTGTCATTGGCATTGCTGCTCCAACATGTAGAGCTGTTTCAGTAATTTTGAGTCACAGACTTACAGCCAATTTTTTTTTTCTATTTCTGCAGGGATGCAGACCAGTGGATCGAATGGACATAGTGGGAGGTTCTGCATCAGCTAGTCCATGCTCGTCATATCACCCAAGCCCTTGTGCATCTTATAATCCTAGTCCTGGTTCATCTTCCTTCCCAAGTCCGGCCTCATCTCATTACACAGCTAATGCCAATGGCAATGCTGATGCCAATTCCCTAATCCCGTGGCTCAAAAACCTTTCCTCTGGCTCATCTTCTACTTCATCCAAGCTTGCTCAGCATCTCTTCATAGCTGGGGGATGCATAAGTGCTCCTGTTACCCCACCATTGAGCTCCCCAACTTCTCGAACTCCTCGAACAAGAAATGACTGGGATGAAAGGACTGCTGGCTCAGCTTGGGCTGGGCAGCGCTATTCTTACCTGCCTTCATCCACTCCACCAAGTCCCAGCCGTCAGGTTTTTCCTGATTCAGGATGGCTTTCCAGACTTGAAATACCCCGAAGTGGGCCAACATCCCCTACGTATAGCCTTGTCTCACGAAACCCATTTGGATTTAAAGATGAGGCTTTTTCAGGTGGAGGTTCACGAATGTGGACTCCTGGGCAAAGTGGCACATGCTCACCAGCATTTCCTGCAGGTGTTGATCAAACATCGGATGTTCCAATGTCTGATGCTATTGCTGCTGAGTTTGCCTTTGGCAGTAACTTAACAGGGCTAGTGAAGCCTTGGGAAGGGGAAAAGATCCATGAGGAATGTGTAGCTGATGATCTTGAACTTACCCTCGGAAATTCTAAAACCAGGTAATTTGGGTGGATTTATGGTTTAAGCATGCAGCATTTAGCATAATTCTTCATGTGCTGCCTCTGTTGTCTAATGACTTGCTTTCATGGAGCAGATAGAGCTTCATGGAAGAAAATGAGAATCAAGCAACACTTGTGGAAGAGAGTGAGAATATTCGCCTTGGGACTTCATTTGGCTTCATCCTTTAGAGCAGGAGTTAAATTTCATGTCAAAATCTAAGATTCTATGTTTCGGTTGGCAACACTATGGAGTTAATACAGTGACTAGAAGCATCTGTTCCAATTTCCATCCCCCACCCAATCTCTCCTTTCAAGCAAAAGAAGAAACAAAAGATTAATTTATAAATAGCTATTTACTGTGAATTTGCCCCTAATGTGCAGTTCATTCATCCATTTCATATTTTTCTTTCCAAACAGAAATTCTAGTAACAGCATTGCCAACGGTATTGGCTGTTTGGTGTGATTGTTGGTTTTGTGATTGGAAGTTATTTTAAATGTCTGAGATTTCTTATTGCTTCTGAAGTTCTTACACATCTCTGTTAGTGTTTGTATGGACTTTTGACGTGTTTCTTCTGATTCTATCACCATTCAATCTGCAAGTCTATTCCTTTCATCGAATTCACTGTTTCTGAAATGCAACTCAAAAACCCAAGTGAAGAAATCAAAGCATACATGCAGAGTGAGATGACCAGGTAAATAAAACTGGTCACCAACAGTGAAATTCGAAAATATTTGCTTTTCAATTGACCTTTTATTGGGGTTTGGGTTCAGACAAATCAATAGGAGGCATGCCCTTGTTGAAATATGTAAACATTTCATCAAAGTGATGACAAGTTGAAGTGTTATACCTGGCCTAGTCTGATCAGAGCATTTATCGAAGATGATCAGGGAAAGGGCATCCCAAAAAGATCAAAAGAATTTATGTTCATCAGAATGTTTAGAGACAACCAACAACCGCAGCATCAGCACAGAGTCGTTTTGCGTCACCATTTTCAGAATTAATTCTCTTCGAATACACTACATTTATAAACTTCATTCCTGGATTTCCAGGATCTTTTTAAGTTAATCAAACAATGATGATAGCAATCTTTTCATTATCCCTTTTATGTGGAGAAATTTTGAGATGCTCAGAAAACAGTAATGAACATAGATTTTTGATGATTGCACACTCAAATACTTGCATGTGCACCCCTGGGGTATAAAAGGGTTCACACCATCTCCGCCTTGTGAGGCGCCTTTTGTAGGACAAAACCGTGAGGCCAGGGGGGCCAGAGCGGACAATACCTCACAAAGGTGTAAACCGTGGCGAAAGGCTGATCTGGGACGCCGGAAGGGTGAATGCCCGGGTCCCGGAGCCGCGCGGGTTCGGAGCTTGAGTCTCGACCCGTGACAAGTGGTATCAGAGCCAGCCCTAAACCGTTCGATCCACGCCGAGCACCTCGAGGGAGGTAGGCAGGGTGGCCGGCCTCCGTGACGAGGGCGTCACGAGGTTGGGTGCGGGAGAATGTCACGGACCTAAGGGGGAGTCCTGAATCCCACATCGAACATAATAGGAAGGTCCCTGGGGTATAAAAGGGTTCACACCATCTCCGCCTTGTGAGACGCCTTTTGTAGGACAAAACCGTGAGGCCAAGGGGGCTAAAGCGGACAATACCTCACAAGGGTGTGAACCGTGGCGAGAAGGCTGATCACTAAGCATGATAACTATATGGTAATAAAGCAAGCTTAATCGAAATGATGATGTTTGAGAAAACAAAGATGGTGGAGTCTCATGAAGCACTCAGTCCTTTCCTTTTCTCTTAATTTCCTGCTTTTTTTCTCCTTTTATCCCTTTCCCTACTGCATTGTGTTGATCCAATAACTAATGTCAAGACCCATTGATCTATCTTGAGCACTTGAGAGTAAAGCCAACATAGATATTTTCTTGACAAGAAAAATTGAAGAGCCTAAAAAGATCATCAGGGTAAATGCTTTTATGCCCCTGATGGTTGTTCGAACTTCATTGGCGTCTCAAGATTGTGGCCTCCAGGCGAATGGTCAAAGAAAGAAAATAATTTTGGGTGGTGGTAATGCAATTATAGTGCTGCCTTGTTAATCATTTCTCTGCAGCAGAACAAAACAATCACACTATCCTTTCTCTATCCTTTTACTTTTATCAATGGTGGTGTGGCCTGTCTGGTGTGTTGATTAATCAGCATAGTCGGGGTTCCAGCAAGTTGAAAGGAAAAAACCGCCATAATCTTCAACTTGGTTTTCACAGATAGTACATGGCTTCTGGTTTGCTCCTGACAGAAGTATGGAATTCGAGGATTGCACACGAACTATTTATTTCCAAAGCTTGGTATTCATAAATCTCACAAGTCACTGGATATTCTTCATCACATACATTGCATTATTTATTTCAAACTCTTTATTCTGTTTTCTTTATAATTTGAATGTTATTCAACAATATAGAATATATATACAATCGTGAGAAGTTCATCTGGTTATTCTTCATCATATATATTGCATTAACATGCTAAGTTATTTATTTTTTTTTAATTTTTGTCCAGTCTTTCCATTTTCCTTCAAATTTTTCCCCATCCATGTTCTTCCCTTTCGGAAGACAATCCAATTACCAATATCATCTTTTACACAGACAAAGAATGGTGGTACGGAAGATCAGAATAGATGATTTACAGAGAATGTACATAAGATTCATGCTCCATTGGCCTTCTTCATACCGAATCTAGAAGATACTAGTTTGATTCCCAGCTTCAGGAACTCAGCTTAAGTGTGTTATATAGATCAGAAAGTGCATGATAGAGAATGGCAGCAGCAGGTGGCCGAGGCATTGACCCGAGAAGTATATCTGATGCAGTTATTGACTGGCTTCCATAAAATCGGGAGTTCTCTTGTCTGCGAGTGGTGACGATACTCCCTTCGAGTGAACACCCAACAAAAGCACCTACAGATTAAAGCATAAATTAAAATTTGAGCATTAAAAGCGACAATAGGAATGCAAAGAAACAAAATCATAGGATCCAAGGTATTATGGGGAGTGGCGGCTGCTGTCTGCAGGGAATAATGTAGGATGCAGTTGTTGATCTCAGACGTTAAACCCTAAGAAACTTAACCAGTAATACTTAACTTCGAAGAATCAAAAGAGTGGACAAGGCACCATGTGTGGGAAAATAGACAACATTAATCAATATTCAACATCATACAAGGACAGATCCTAAAAAATCACTAAGACAAATATGCAACTGAATTGAATTCAACTACAATAACAGAAAAAATAAAAATAAAAAACCTCAGATGAGATGAGACAGATACCTTTACTGCAGCTGTACGTATAACAAGCAGCATAACCACCATCACCAGCTCGTACATCAGCTTCCACGGCTCGTCCAACAATACCAACAGCTGCACTCAAACCAGCTCCAATAGAAACATGTGCATTGCCACTAAAAGTCCTGACAGCATCATTTGTTCTCAAGATTATAATAAAATCTGTCAGTTCTCCCCCAGCCTGCAGATGTAACCCTTAATAGTTAGGAAAAAAGTGAAAAAGAATTTAATTTCACAAGATTGGCCCATTGCATCCCACTGTCCAGATATCCCAATTGAGTTCCCTTGGCTCAAATAAAGACTCTGTGGTTTAATACTAAAGTTTAAGCTCAGCGTTTGCATGTCTTCGTTTAAATTTTTGGAATAGTAAATAAATTATTTTTGGACAACAATAAACAACGAAAAATTTCATCCTTTCTTAATTAAAAAAAGCGGCAAAGCTAAAAATGATCCTTATGAGCGGAGACTGGAGTACCAATGAGAGAGAAGCTAGAATCATCAACACAATTTTACTTTTGAAAAATTGATAAAAGTTGATTTTGTTCCATGAATGTGATCTCGAAAGAGTAATGTATAGGATTTTACTAGGATGAAGATATGGTTGTATGCTACCATTTCCAGTTTCTTGGATATGAATTTCCAATAGGTAAAGTTTAGTCTATGTGCTGTTAAAGAACAAAGATTTAAGTATTCACCTGAGCTCCCCATCCTACACCAAATGAAGAAATAGCAGAAGGTGGCGACCAGGAGCCATCCTCTCTATGAGCAATCACAAGTCCTGTACCAATATTGTATGTAACCATTACACCAACTTTCACAACAGATAGTATGGCAAGGCCTTTTGCTTCTCGGAGAATGGCATCTGGAATTGATTTCTCAGGTTTCAAAGAACCAACCTAGCCAGTGAAAACGAAAAGGGTGAGAATACCAAAAGTCTAAGTATAATTTCAAAGAGAAGAAAGAAATAATTGTTTGTACAAAAACATATCTACAATTCCTTTCTGTATATTTGGCACTCCAACATGCAAATATATGAGCGTCTTGCTCTTTTTTTGTTTTTTTTGGTGCATGACATAATATATAATCAAGCTAAAGCAACTAGCAGAATAACAGGCCCAATATATAATCACAGCAAGGTGCAATTTAATGCAAAACCATAAGCACTTGTTTACTAGTTAACAACTAATCAATGACAAGTAAGCCTCAAAGCTCAATTCTTACCTTAGTAATATAACCCCGAATTGTATTTGTTGCCTTATAAATTTCATGTTCCATGGACTGTCCCCAGGGAAAATTAACCCAAGATCTCAAAGTACTAAGGTCTGTCAGGTCATGGGTTGGCAGCTGAGCAGCACGACTAACTTGATCCATTAAGTATGGCTGGACAGACTCAAGCCGCACACAGCATACATCACAGACACGTTGTGGATCACCAACACGAAACTTTTCTGGCATTAAACTCTTTCCCTTGGAACATTCACCACAAAATATTCCTCCACAAAACCTGCAATGGTGTCTAGAACACATGATTGGGTGAAACCTCACACCACAAAGCATACAAGCAGAAGCAGCACTGTCAGCCAACCACTTTGGTGGTTCTGCTTCAAGAATTTCCTTCAAATTACCAAAATTCGCTTCAGTTAGTGTCTGAGCCATCTCTTGCCAAGCTTGCTCAAGTAAATGACTTGATAGCCATGAAATGCCACATCTTTGAATATCACCAGAAGTGAAAGCATTTACTTTCCCACGTGCAGCAAATATCATCTCCACTATCACATCCCACATTGTCAACTCTTTTTCTTCCCCAAGGACCTCAGCCCATCCCATGTCACCTTCAGGGAAATAACTCCCATTGGAATGAAAACCTCTTGCCCACTCTTCATGATCACTTTCTAGCATTGGTGGAACTGAGACCGGTATCCAAACCCCAGTATCTTCAGCAAGAGGTGAGTCATAGAAGAAGTATTTTCCCAGCTTCTGGTGGCTTGTCTTAAGTTCCTTTTCCTCATCATTCAACTCCATACTTTTAGTTGGCACTGGTAACCTATTATCACGTTCTCCAGAAACATTCATTCCTTGACTCTCAAAACTAGCATTGTGTGGGGAATCATATCTTTCAAGTCCCAGGTTATCATCCTATTATTAACATAAAAGGGAAAAGTAAATAATCATCAAATAAAAAGAAAAACACCCAAATCAGAAATATCCCCAAATATTTGAATTTTAAGGAAAAAATACATGTTTTTCATTATTCTTACGAATTTTATGAATAAAAATAAACGCATAATCAAAACGTAAAATTTACACAATCCAAGAAAAAAAAGCAGGAAAACAAAATCAAAATCCTATACTTTCTCAATCGAAAGATTATAGGACTAATTCAAAGAACAGAAACAATTTCAAAGACTCACCCGGAGAGAATTGGGGTTCTGATTGCCGCTATCCTCGTTTAGGGACAAAGAACAAACCCTAGAATCCAAAACCTGGGTTTCTGGAACTCTGGAATCAGGACGAAAGCCCGGATTTTGATTGGAACCCTCCATAAAGTTGTTAAATTTAATTAAATACTTTAGCTAAAAAAGGGCATAAACGAAACCCATTTACATAGAAAAATAGAAAGAGAGGCTGCAAAGAGGAAAAAATCTTTTCTTTTTTTTTTGTGCAGTTGATTAAAAGAGAATTCTTTTCATCCTTGAATTTAAAGTGGATTACTTCATTAATCATTAATTATTGAAGAAAGAGAAGGTTGGATTTCAGCTGCCTTCAAAACTTGTCTTTATTAGGTTTTCTTGTATAACCAAAATTCTCCGTTGCTTTATTAAGTTAAAAAAACAAACTTTACTAATAAAATTTTTATTGAATTTTTACAATGATTTTTAGTAACTGTTCCTTAGGCCACACTCATTATTTTACTTATACTCTACTCCATGGTAATGGCAACATTTTTATTTGGATTATCTTTATTTCTTTAGTACACTAAATAAATTTATTTTGTTCTTAAATATTAAATAAATTATCAAAAAATTTCACAATGTGAGTACTTAATAACATATTATCTCTAAAAAAATAACATATTAAAAATTTCCTAAAAAATAAGGTTAAAATATTAAAAATATATCAAATTTTATTATTTTATTTAAATAAATTTTTGTATTTTAACTTGTATTCAAATAAAATTTTTATATGTATATAAATAAACATTTATTTCAAATTAACTACTGCAAAATTTTTTATTCTTTTTAATTATGTAAAAATTGATTTTTTATATAAATAAAAGTTTAATTCAAGTTATTATAATCATGAGTGTATTATGATATAAATTAAAAATTAAATGTTTATTTGAGTGTAAATTAAAAATTAAAAATTTATTTGAATAAAATAAAAAAATAAAAATTTATTCGAATAGAATGATAAAATTTAAGGATTTGTTTATTATTTTAAACAAAAAATAACATATTAAAAATTTTAATTTATAAAATTAAATTCTTAAATGAAATGATAATGGTCAAACTCACAAATTAATTGGACTTAAAAAAAAAACAATTTTATCTTTTTTTGGTAAGAAAAAAAATTCCTTTTATCGAATCCAAATTTTATCAAATCCAAAATTTTTTATAAAAAACAATTTTATCAGTTAACATTTTCCTTTTATCAAGTCCAAATTCTAACAACAAATGATCAAACTGCGGATTCCAGTCCTTCAGATTCAGACAACAAAAAGGGTAACAAAAAAAAGTCACCCACCCAAAAGACAAGGGAAAGGAAAGTGAAGTCCCATATAGTAAAAAACAACTCTTTCTTGCATATCAGAGGTAAAGAAAAAAAAGAAAAAAAAAAGACAGTAGCCAATTCTAGAATCTCTCCATGGAAACAAGCTCTAAACTTTTCACCCTCTTCCCAATTCTCTTCCTTTTGTTATCAACTCTAAGCCAATCATCATCATCATCATCACCTGATAGCATCAATATTGGCAAAAACCCTTCAGTCTCTTGGTACCGCACCTTGTTAGTTTTGCGAAGGAACAACAAGAATCAGATCCCAAACTGTGGTGAAATGGTGTCAAGATCTCAATGTTTGCAAAACCCAAAGTGCCGTTGGTGCGGTAGTGAGGCTCTGGATGATATGTGCTTTAGCAAGGCTGAGGCTTGGCGCTTGCCTCAGCAGGTTTTTCTTTGTGATTGATTCATTCACTTTCAACTTGCTTTCTGGCTTTTGCTTCATTGTATTCGTTATAGATACTCCCCTAGTTATTTGTCAATGAATGAGTTTTTCAAGAAGAGATAATTGCAATTTTTTTTTCTATGTAACTATGAAATAGTGAGTTGGATATTGTTGGTGATCTGATTTATGATATGGGTTTCTCTTCTTTCTTCGGAGGCTGTTTTTGTTTTGTTTTTTTTGTTTTTCCCTAACATATTGATTAGTTGAAAGGAGAGGGATTATTTACAAATCAAGTTTACTCTTTTGCATTTGGATTGATCTAAATGAATTTTGATGTGGAAACTTGGGAAATGAATTTTGATGAACATAGTCTGATAGCTGTGAGAATGTAGGGGAAGTAATTGGTTATGGTTTACCTCTTGGATTTCTTGGTGGTTGGGAACCAGCTGCTCAAGAAGATAATATGTTCACTTGAACTCTACTTAAACACACTTTTTACTCCTTGGGGAGCCATCCAATCGTTAATGGACACCATAACAATTCCCTTTCCGATATAATTCTCTGACACTCAGCTCTAGAACTGTTGCAATTCTATTTGGCATGTGATGTTCCTTATTATGTTCACGAATGCTGTTTATTAGATCTATATCAAGCACAGGATGTGAAATTCTGAGTGTTTGGCCTCTTTAGGGCATCATGTAAATCTTTTCCTTGGTTATATAATCGGCTGTTTATTATATCTATATCAGTTACGGTGCATATAAAAGTTCTAGAAACAAAATAACAGTGCCATGGTGATCTGCACCTACAGGAAGGAACATGAATGTTGAATATTAATTAAATTTTGGGCTGCTATGGTTTGAGTTAATAGTTTCAGGACTAGTACTTCAATACAATTTAATTGGGATTTTTCTAGTGGTGCAAGACTTGTATTGACTTATATTGTGTCTTTTATCATCGGTTTTGTCTTCTTTGCCAATTTCATGCATTTTAGATTCTGGGATTAATGATATGCTATTTTCAAGTGAGTTTCTAATCTTCAATTTTCAGTTGGTTTAAGGGCCCAATATGCCTCCTATGTGTGCTAAATAGAGGGTTGTGACTTCTTCCCTTTTAAGGATTTGAATAGATGTATTGGTGTCAATAAAACTTGTATGATCTTGCTTTTGTTTCTTAAGAATATCTGCTCTAGGGTGAAAACCTCTGAAGCAAATGCATGGCCAGAAAGTACAGTTTTTAAACATGTTTTTGTGATATATGGGAGGGAGTGGCAATTTGGCTAAATGATTGAGCTGGAAAATGGGAAGCTGCTTGCTTAGGGGAGCCCAATCAAAACAAGTTTCATGCAGAAGAGTGGAAGCACATCTCAATCATAGAAGAAAGTGATGTAGTTTCTTAACTTTGTTATTATTCTCCATTACCAAATTATAAGCGTCTCATGCCGAGTCTCTTATAGTTTACCTGAATCACTGCTAACCTTACTGGAAGTAGAATTTCTTTGCTCAAAATGTTGCTGACTCAAAGGCTTGCTGTTAATGTCATTTATTTTTCTGGTGAAATGCATTGTAGCCTGGCCAGAGAAAATATTCTTGAAAATGCATAAGCTGTTGAGCTTATGTTTCTTCTTTTGTTGTTTAGTACAGACATTTTGCCAAATTTTTAGAAGCTAAAATTGCTTCAATATTATTACTAAGCCAATCAGAAGGGTTTGCCTTCAAAGAGCCTCGTAGTTTAAACATTACATTTTGCAGATGATTCCTTCATACTTGCTTAAATAGAAGAGGACTCTTCCTTGAGAGAAGCAAGAGTTGGATCGATTGGCCTAAGAAGGCAATCTAAACTATAGGAACGTTTTGGATGCTCCAAACTATACTACTTTCAAATCCGACATGGCTAACGAAGAGATTACTGAACATAGCACGAAGCAGAGCAAGCGTCATAGCTTCAACTTCAACTGTACATAGCCATAATCATCACCATCACTGCTACCACCCTTCCAACCGCTGCCACCAGGAAAATAATGCTTGACCGCCACTCTCATATCGTCAAACTGTTCACACCAGTCAAAAGAATATTAGCAACTTCTCGAGCTTCCTATTGTCAGCATCATCCACAAAGGTCAGTAAGGGGACAACAGTCTCAGGCTGCAAAGAATAAGCATTGGGGTTGTCATCAACTGTCACAACTTTCCTCCAATCCCTCCCCATTTTCAGACAAGTCCATAACAAACTTCCCTTCCACCTGCTGCAAGTGTCCTGATAAAGCCAGTACGATATTAACCCCCTAGGACCAAGATCATCCAAAACCTATGAAGCATATTGCTTTAGCCCGGCCGTGAAAGCCACCACCTCATGTTTCTTGCTGATTTCTTCTAAGGAGAAATCCACGCCGGGTCGTTTCAACACATAAAAATGCATAGTTTGACCTTCAATATTCGGCCTTACTACAAAATCATTCATTTTCGGAGGTGGGTCAGGGCTTGAATGCACCAGGGTCTCGTCTAGGTCAAGGAATGATATGATCTAATTGTCTGCGCCTTGTAATTTTAGGTAGTTTACTTACTATCGTTAGCATAGCTTATACGTATCTCATCAACAAAAAAATAGCTAAGCCATACATAAAGTTCTTCTTTTCTCTATGTCTCATATGTCTCAAAAAGAAAGATTTTTTCATCTCCGAAATCAACAGTGGAAGCAAGCAACGGTCAGAGCACGAGGAAAAATGAAATTGCTCTCGAATTCATCAAGTTCTTCTTGGTTTAGGATTTTGAAGCCCTTGTGGCAACGCTTGGCGGTGGTAGGGGTTGCTATGGACTAACTTTGAGAAGAGCTTTACAAGGCGGGGATGGTAAGTCTTGATGGACATGTTGAGGGAGGCAATGACAGAGAACGAAGCATTCTTCTTTATTGGAGAATTCATTCTCCGATGATGGTTAAGTCAGTGGCGCTTGATGGATCGTGGTATTGTGTTGATAATCTTGGAAACCATCTAAGGATTCTGGATTATGATCGGACGATCGAAAATAATCATCATCCACAAAAAACAAAGAAGGAAAAGTTCCTAGATTTAAAAAGAAGAGGAGGAGGTATCCTTTGGTTCGGTGTAATGGTCATGAAGATAGTGGTTCGAAGTCGAAGCTGGGATTAGTGAGCAACAGGGTTGTTTTGTTTCCGACCAAAAAAAGAAATACACAAAAAAAAAAAAAACTTGTATGCATTAACTCTTAGTCTTATGAGGTTTTAGTCATTTGAGCTTAAAATTAGATGACAGAAGCTTCCAATAATCTCCAAGTTTAGCTCATGTTGGCACCACCAAAATACTGCTTAACCGCATCTCTCATGTCCTCAAAACCATCGCAATAGCTCTGAAAGAACCCTATCAGCTTCTTCAATTCCCTGTCTTCAATGTCATCTTCAAATCGCTTTATGGGGATTGCATTTGCGGGTTGCAAATAATACGACTTGGGGTTATCATCAACAATCACAACTTTTCCAAGGTCCCTCCCTATCTTCGACAAGTCCTTCACGTATGTTCCCCTCACTAATTGCTTGCATGAATCCCTGTACAGACGGTGAGATATCAAGCCTTTGGGGTCTAGAAAATCAAGCAGCAATGAGGCGTATGGCTCGATTCCTGCCGTGAACACCACCACTTCGTACTTCTGACTGATTGCTTCCAAGAATTCATCGACCCCGGGTCGTTTCAACACGTATAATTTCATTCTTACACCATTAATGCTTGGTTTAATCATGAAATCATACGTTGGTGGAGGCTGGTCAGAGATTGAATGCACCAGGGTCTCGTCCAGGTCAAGAACGATGGTTCTCTTTTTGTCTGAAACTAATGGATGAAGCAGCTGATGGTGCTCGTGTAATACAAGAACTTGAGGCAGAGCAGAACTGGTCTCAGATTCAAATTTAAGTCTAGGGCCAACATCGGGTTCGAACAAGGTCTCTTTCCGTTCAAGGATTACGGAGCCCAGGTGGTGTCCTATGGTTGCCAACTTGGAGAAAAACTTGATGAGGCGAAGATGGCATTTGTGAATGGACTTGCTTATGGAAGCAATAATGGAGAAAGATTTGGTATTTGTTGAAGATGATGATCTTCTCTTAGGATGATGGAAACGGCGGAGGTGGTGACGGAACAGGCGTTGATGGTGCTGGCGCCTGATGGACTTTGGTTGGACCCTTTTGCCCATCTTGAATATTGACATTTCTTGGTTAAGAATATAGAAATCTAGAGAGAAAGAGATTGAAGAGGTGCTGTCGGAATCTACTTGTTGATTTAGGAGGTTTTGAAGCTTGGTTCGGTGCAACAGTGATGAAGTTAGGTTCAAAGCCATAGCTGGATTTCCAGTGAATTAGTAATGATCAGAGAGAGGGGGTTTTTTCTGTTTAGAATGGAGCGTTTTGTTTAATGCTGTTAATTAATAGCCAAATAGGGCATCACAGGAAGAATTTGAGTTCTATACCTGAGCAAAATTAGTAATTTTAACCTTTATCCGCACTTGTAATATAATTTTTTTATGAAAAATAATAACTCACAATGGTCCATGTATAACCAATTATAAAACTTTTAGTTTTTTTTTTTTTAATTTCACAATTTCGTACAATGCAAATTTCACAATTCCTAATTAATTTGGATATTACAAGCACAAGACCTAGCAAAATATAAGTTTTGTTAAGTGCAGCTCATAAACTTGGTTATTATTTTTTGAAATATCATATATAATTAAAATTTCAAAAATATATTTAGCAATTTTTGAATTTTTTGCAAATTTTTTTAAAAAATTACGATTTATTAAATTGAGTTTGTTTGATTAAAAAAATATCATGGTTCATGAATAAACATAAGGAGACAGCAGAATAATATATGTATGTTTTTCTGTACATATAATCTATTCTTATTAAAAAAAATCAACATTTAGAAGATCATAAACAGTAACTAGCAGTTTATTATATGAGTATATTGGTCAAGAAATGAAAGTTTTTAATTAGTAATTATAGAATTAAGCAAATAATTACATGCAGTGCCATCTCTCAAATAAAAAAAAATTTTTTAATGATTAATTGAGAGAAATAAATAAATTTCATTTCTCTGAAGGACTTCCTATAGAAAGTATTCTTGAACCATGATCACTGGCCATGTATGAGTTTCGATGGAGGTTGAGAGGCAAAATTTTCGAAGTGCGATTACATGGTTAGATTCTAGTTTCTTATAAAAGAGATCACCTTATTCTTTAACATCTCTGAGGTACTGGTTCACGGCATCTCTTATGTCTTGAAAAACATCACATCTCTCAAAGAACCCCGCCAACTTCATCAACTCCCTGTCCGAAATCTCATCACTGAAAAAGGGTTTTATGGGGATCCCGTTTTCAGGTTGCAATGCAAAAGAGTGTGGGTTATTATCGACGATCACAATCTTCCTCAAGTCTCTCCCCATCTCTGACAAGTCCTTCACGAATTTCCCTCGCACTTGTTTGCATGAATCCGTGTAAACACGGTGCGATATGAATCCCTTTGGGTCAAGGGTATCCAGCACTTTCGATGCATACGCTTCCTGCCCTGCCGTGAGCACAACAACTTCGTATTTCTTGCTGATCATCTCCAGGAACTCATCCACCCCAGGTCGTTTTAAAACGTAGAAATTTATTGTCACCCCATCTTTATTTCTCGAAACTGTGAAATCGTACCTTGGTGGAGGCGGGCCAAGGCTTGAATGCACCAGGGTTTCGTCCAAGTGAAGAACAATCGTTCCTTTTTTGTCAGAAACCAATGGAGGAAGCATGTTGCGGTGTTAGACAAGAACTGGAGGCCGGGGCACATTATTGATGAAGTTGGTTTCAAACTTTCAAATTCATGTTGGAGTCCAGGACAAACAACATTGTTGGCTTCGAACTAGGTCTTTTCTTCCTGTCTAAGATTCTCGGAGCCCTTGAGGCGGCATGATGGGGTTACTATTCGGGCTAGGCTCGGATAAAAACTTGGCCAGTTGATGGTGACACTTGACAATGGACTTGCTTATTGATGCAACGATGGCGGCCGAGTTGATCTTCCCTGGAAAGCGCCTTCTTTTATGATAATCGCGCTGGCGCCCTACTTAGTTTTGCTTATGGCATAGCATCTCTTGATTCTGAGTTATTATTGGAAATTCGAGAAAAATAATTTGTTTGAGAAAAAAAAAAACATAAAAAACAAGAGAGATCACGTATGAGTTAATTTTAAAATTTTGCTTGATGATAACAGATAATTATTTTGTGAGTCGAAGCTGGATTACTAATTTAGGATTGATGTAATTAACCTATCTTACAGATAAATAGAGATATATAAAAATAATAATCAATCTATTTCTATAATCAATCTATATTTATATAAAAATAAAAATATAATACTATATGGATATGGATAAAAGTGCATTTTTGCTTATTAAATTTTTTAACTTGTTATTTTAAATATTTTTATGATAAATATTAATAAAAGTTTTTTGGATAAGTAATAAAATTTATCCAATTTATAAAATAAGAATTATAATTATGATAAATAAAAAGAGTTAAAGTTTACACTAAATAATTTTATTTTCATAATTTTAATTTTACATTAATGTTAAAGGTAATTAATTTTATATTAATCTTATATACTTTTCACATGACATACAACCATACATTAAAAAAGTTTAAAATTAAACTTATATATTATACAAATAATTGAAATTAAAAATGTATAGTTAAATCTAATTTAGTCATAATCAATGATTTATTGGTTTCATATGAATTTTCTATTAATGTCACAAAGGGTCTTTGCCTGCCACTTATTGAGAGAAAAAAAAAAAGTCTCTTTAACAAAGCATGCGCATTGAACAAACGGAGAGTTGTTGGTAGGTCTCTGATTCCATCTATTACCACTTCAAACACTTGGTTGGATTCAATGGAAAAAAATTTCTTCAATTGTTGATAATGCATATAAATGTTTAGCTTTATTCTTCTGATAATTTGCTGTTAGAGTTCCATATGCTTCAATTTGAAATTCATGCCAAACAAATTGAAGTTGATTTTGGAGGAAACACAATAAAAAAAATATTGATTCTGATATCATTTTAAACATTTAACAAACTAATCGATAATAAGTAGATGAATTCAATTTAAATATAAAATTATAAAAAATTAAATATTTATTTAATATAAGATAATATCAATAAGTTCATTTTCAAAACAATTAGTATGGATACCTGGCTTATAGCACATGGAGTTGAGCATGAGGCGACAAAAAGTCTGCCTAAATCACCGATTATTGAATTATTTTATTAACAAATTTCAAAATAGAGCCGCAATTGCTTCCAGATTGCGACACTCTTGTTTTCAGATCACTACTCTATTTGGCAGGAAATGATGCTACATTTCAATTATTAACCTTGGCAATGGCAATGCCCACTATGGAGCAAAGGATTGTGTCATATATATATATATATATATATATGTTTGTTTGTATGTATGTAGAAAACTAGAAATTATCTACAAGATCATCCTACTAAGCTAACTTCCTTGGCATTTTTACAACAAAGTTGATTCTCTTTTTGTACTTTATATTCCATAGTTAAGAAATTAATATTCCATGTACAGAATAAAAATGTACAACTCAGCTTTGGTTATGACAAAAAATACACCAACTTGATCGATTTGAACATCTGTTTTCCTTATTATTGAACAATTGATCGATTTGGGTGCATCATTAGCTGCTTAGCTCTATAGTTTAACAGATTCCGAATATGATTCTAAGGAGCTTCTTTGTTTGATTCACTTGCTGAGATGGATTCATTGTAAATAGCAAAGATGACAAAAAATGACAACTGATTTCCCAAAATTTGATGCATTATATTTGTAATTTTGTATGCATCATGGTTTTTTTTTTTTTTTTTCTTTTTTTACCTTATTTCAGCAAATCAAGATGGACAATTGAACATCGATTTTGATGATCCAACTATATGGTTAAAATTTTCCTTGTGTCATGGTATCCATTAGTAAAATGCGTCTCTAACTACACTCTACTGATAAGCATCAATTAATTACCTTTATATGGAAAGAATTACAGAATTTTTCTTATGAAGCTAGATAATATTAATATAGATTCATAAGAAGGAAAATATGTGATAAAATTGGTAAGTCCATCTCGAATTGCGTAATCTTGTAGCCATAGTTAGAATCAAAACCAAAAAGAGAAACCCTTTTGAAATTAGAATGAAATAGTAAAATTTCGTAATTAATGTCACAATTTAGAATTAATCACCTAAATTATCTTTGGCAACCATAAATCGTAAATATGGATATTATTTAGATAATCATCATGATCTTATGCACGGACAGTAGAATTTATAAGTAGATTCATGTGCTTGTAACGTATTCAATTGATAACAATATCTTATCTTAATCAACTTAATCTAACAGAATAAAGGATGGAGGATTGGGATTAACCTTCATTAATATAGAACTATGTTTTTGGCTACAATGTTGTGTGCCCATATTAATTGGGGCTTAACTAAAATTACAGGACCTATTCAAGACATTCATGTCTTCCTGTATAACCGGGGGGCAGTCGAAGCTGCCTTCAATGCCTTTTCACTGTTCACAAGCCCCAATTAAGTCACATTTTTCAACGATATCTCCAAAGAATGGGATAAATATAAAACTATATATGGTAAGGAAAAAACAAAAGCAGCAGAAAAGGAAGAGGCAAGATAAAAGAGGTGGCATGGTCAATCTCTCCTTTTTTTTTGGTAACATCTAGGCTACCCCTTGTACACACTTCTTCCTGGTTGTTGAGGTACAAAAGCCAGCAGATCAAGCAATCTTTCTGTCTTTTGTCTCCCTCCTCTATTTCGCTCTCTCCTTGTTTTGCTAATTTTCCTGTCCTATAGAAGTTAGCAGTCATGGCTGACAAATCCGGAAGTAATGGAAATCATGGAGTGGTCGTGAATGTGAATTGTGAAGCCAATCATAATCCTCCTCCATCGGCCTGCAAAAGCAAAGACTCTGACATCGGTTTATCTGTACCTTTCATGCAAAAGGTTAACTCTATATTTATATTCTTATTTCTTGTCTTGTGAACTCCAAATCAATATCTTTTCTTCTGTTTGATCCTGATCAATCGCCATGCTTCAATTATGTTCCAGCAATCTTCATCCCATTATAATTCTAATTCCAAGTTGTTACTAATATGTTATGTTTCAAAAGGGTGAATGCTGATTTGTGTTTTCCAATTTGCAGCTGATGGCTGAGGTGTTGGGCACATATTTCCTGATATTTGCAGGTTGTGCATCAGTGGTGGTGAATGAAAACAATGAGAAAGTGGTTTCACTTCCAGGGATTTCCATGGTGTGGGGACTGGCTGTGATGGTCTTGGTTTACTCTGTGGGTCACATCTCTGGTGCCCATTTCAATCCTGCAGTCACCATTGCTTTTGCTAGCTGCAAAAGATTTCCTCTGAAACAGGTAAGTAGCAGCAACATGGTTAACACCTTATAAGAAAAGGAAAAATGAAACAATTCCTTCTCATTCTATAAATTGGTCAACAACAAAAACCAACTTTAAGCCAAATTTGGGATTTAAGAATGAGTTTTCTTGTGGAAAAATTAGAAAAAAACTTGTGCTCAAAGGGTTAACCTTATTCTTTATTTAGGTGCCAGCATATATATCAGCTCAAATTCTTGGATCAACCATGGCAGCTGGTACCCTTCGCCTGTTGTTTAGCGGACCCCACGACGTCTTTGCTGGAACGTCGCCACAAGGGTCTAATTTGCAGGCTTTCGTGGTCGAATTCATCATCACCTTTTACCTCATGTTCATTATATCTGGTGTTGCCACTGATAACAGAGCTGTAAGCTTTTCCTTTTCTTTCAATTACATTTTTTGACAAAAAAAAATGGAGGAATAATATGGTAAGCCAATAGGTTTGGTGAATTCAGTAGCCAACCTCATTTGCCTTTCATATGCACCAATATTTGTTATGCAATTGATCAATTTGCCTAATATATTCTAAAGCATTTGAATTATACTCCATTAATGACAGTGACTCATTCTTTCAAATCCTATCTGTATCGAAAACGATATAAAAAATTTTGAAATAACAAGCAAAAATGTCCTGATTTGTTTTGATCCATTTTTTTTACATGTAGATTGGAGAACTTGCAGGACTCGCTGTTGGCGCTACCGTGCTGCTTAATGTGTTGTTTGCGGGGTATTAATTTTTTCCTTATCCAATTCGGCAGATTTAGAGCTAAAATTTCAATAATTGTAATTTTTTTTATCTCTAAAATATAATATCTTTTGTTAAATATATATATATATATATATATATTTGAAGTCGCCAATATTTCGGCAACATGGGTACAAATCTTAAGAACAAACCTGAGGTCAAACTAAGCTAGCTTTGGCCTTGCTGTCGTTTTTTCTGACATAGTTACAATAATAAAAAGATAAGCTGATAATTTAAGATTGTATTCTGACAGGAAGATAACAGGAGCATCGATGAACCCAGCGAGGAGCTTGGGACCTGCAATTGTGTCCAATCATTACAAAGGGATATGGATATATCTTACTTCACCAATTCTTGGGGCAGTGTCTGGTGCTTGGATTTATAACATGGTGAGGTACACAGACAAGCCGTTGCGGGAGATCACAAAGAGTGCTTCTTTCCTCAAGAGTTCACGTAATTGTGGTTAAACTTGCTAAAGAGTAATGTAAATCAGGACTATGATCATTAACCTTAAGACAGAAAATCAAAGATGGCAATTTTAATGGGCATGTGTTTGGCTCACTTCTGCAGTATTGTTGTCACTGATCCTTTGTTTTCACTTTTCCCTTCTATTCCAAGTTCTGAAAGCAGATGATTAAATCAAATTCCTAGTACCATGAATGCTTGAATTGGTTACCGAAATTCTTCTTAAAGGCTTTGATTGCAGGCCACTTTAAAACAAATTATTTTTATCTTCTTGTCCAAACTGGCAAGCCATCATACTTGTCTTTTGATTAGATCATCGAAATTATGTGAACAAGAAAAGTGAATGGGCAAAATAAATTCATTTATCATGTGAAGAAAGAAACCTTGAAACCTTTCATCCTGAGGAAGAAAAAATGGAAACGCAAAACTTGGAAATGAATAAGATTGATAAAAAGCATGTTATCCTCTGAAGACTTGGTTGAGATCACATGCTTCATGTTTCTTATGGATTGATAGAATGCGCTGCCTTGGAAAGCTTGTTCAGGTTGGGGGAGTCTTCCTGTTAAACAAGCACATGATTCCTGCTTGGCATGTGGCTTTTGCAATTTTGTTCATAATGATTAAGCAGAAAGATCTTGCTACCACATGTAAATTGAAACACATTTCCCTTCCAACATGGAAAATCTTTCGACAACAACAGTTTACCAACAACCATTAAAAGTTCATTATGGTTAATTAGGCTGCCCCAGAATATACTTGGTTGTGTTAGAGAATAGAGCCAAGGCAATAATCTTCATTTGCGTTATTTCCATCATCTATGCAACCACTAATCAGCCAAATATAAGTTACTCATCAACTATATAACTAGTGGCTGTAGATACATTTACATCAGGTTTGAAAAAATAAAAAAAAAATGGTGGCAAAATAAAGTGACGTTGCCCTATCAAATTTACCCGACTTTGTAAGCAAACACTAGGTAAATCTTTAATTGCATTATTATTCTTTTTTTTTTTTTTGGGTATAAATGAGATCATAATTTGAGGATAGGAAAAGAATTACAGATGCTAAAATTTGAACCCCAAACCTATTGAATATCACCTCTTAAGAGTGGATACATGAACAATTGAACTAAGATTCCAGTTCTTAATTGCATTATTATCATCAATTCTGCAGTGCTTCAAATCTGTGCTGGCCAGCTATTCTATGCATACCTGCTGTTAGCAGAACCATGTCTTGTCCTTGTTCTTGGAATGAGTATAGGTCTACAACAAACTAAAGTAAAGAGTAACTGCATTATAAATGATGTAATGCTGACCCATATAAATATAGTTCTCTGCCAATACCATATAATTCTTTTGATAAAAGGAAGTTCCGACTTAAGGATGAGGGATGCATCATATAGTTCAGGAATACCAGCACCTGGCCTGTACTCTGCTCGTTGTTCAAGTACTACCCTTAAGCAAGCAGTAGGCACAATTCCTTCGTTCAAACCTCTAATCTTCAGATTCAGAGTCTGCGCTTCTGAAACATAGCCAGTGATTAGAGGAGCAACCTTGAAGAATGTCAGCAGAAGGCGGATAGGCTCACTTTTGAATTTCAACATGCATGTATGGCTTGAAGTGGCAAGTGCTTCGCCATTAAAAGACAGGAAATCTACCCTGACCTTCAAATAAAAAAAAGTTGCACTAGCATTCATCAAATAAGAATTTGGTTACTAAAAGTTAAGAGTCAGATGACAGATAAAGGTAAATGAAAATCACTACAGTTAGGAAGAAACACCTTTAACAAAAAAGGCCGTCTTTCCTTGTTACCAAACTTTCATAGCCCTGTTAATGAGTTAGGTTCCAGCAAACATACCATCAGCCTTGATCACCATATTTTGTTATTTAGTACATAAGGGATAGAAATGTTCAGGATAACAGAATATATCAAAATTTAACTGAGTTTTACACTCAAAATTTTTGTGTTTGAGAGCAGAAGCAAGTGGTCTAAGACAATAAATTCATGCTGCTTATATGCAAATGACCAGTTACCAGAATATTATCCAACTTATACGGTAGGACTTCTCATGGTAACAAGCTGCTGCTAACCTATAGAACATGCTAATATAAGAAGTATAAACTGAACAATCCAATTTTCCCTAATACACTGGCTATAAATTTTCCTCGGCTCAAGAGGTTAATAACATATGGAAATAATAACCCATTCCCTCGATGATTAAGGTTGATGGACACTCCAAACTTCAACAACAAGATAATTTACTAACTTCCTAGGTCAAATCGCTTCATCCAATAAGTTACAAAATAAGGTAAAGAATGTCAACATAAAACTTAACCAACCAAAAACTGTAAACAGAAGCATAAACCCCAAATTGTCTTCTAGATAAGAAATGAAAAACACAACAGAAGTAAAATAACTTGAAAATAATGGCAATTTCTGCATTCCAGAAATCAACTAAATACCTGGAACATCCCAAGATTTCTGTTGTAATCTGACTCTGGCAATGTCAAAGAAACAGTAACCTGCAATTTGTGATCAGGCGGTATGACTCTGGAACGCGTGTTCTTCCCAACATCTATCTTCTCCATACCTTTGACACCACAACCAACACCAGCACAAGATACAATCGGAACAAATGCAACCGGACTACTCTTAGTATAATCAAAGTTCAAGGTTCCCTTTATCTCCAATGGTTCCTCCACCAAATACCTCATCAAAACCCCACTAATCACAAGTGAAGTAAACAATAACCCACATAAAACACAGCCTACATATGTAGCCCACAACGCTCCCCAACCCAATCTAAAGATGAGGTTCCATATAGATTTATGATACTTTGTAATGATGAGGTTCCAACTAAACACTGATAGCGGTAATGTAATGAAGCTTATTAGCAAATTTAACTGAAGCCTGATTACCGCTATCACTAAACCAACTATAAACACTAGCAAACTCGAGGAAGAATATAGTGACTCATTGAGTTCGGCGCCCGCGTCAGCCGAGTTACGGGCTCGGTGAATCAATTCATCATTTCTCGCAGTGGTCACAGTGGATTCGACGTCGATTTCCTCTATGACGCGGGTCGAGTTGAATCCACCCCGAGTTGACTCAGTTATCTCGAAAGTGTCGTCATTTGCCTCCAAATCGCGGAAAATTTTGTACCTTGACTCTCTATAACTGGTTACTGAGTGGTCTTTTAAGGTGGAAGCTTCTGGAAGGGAATCTCCGGGTTCCTCGGAGGAGATTCCTCGGCGTCGAAGAGTAGGGGTTAAGTCAGACGTGGAAGGATCTGATTGGTCGAAGGTAAGGCAATCGTAAAACGGGAAGTCGTCGAGTGCGACGAAGAACCGATCCCCTTCGTCGGTGGTTTGTGATTCCATTGAAAAATTGGCAACGATAAATATCAAAATTTGCCTTTTGTTAGCCTCTCAAATATATGAGAGATTGTCCAGCCCAGATTATACCCAAAACGGAAACTCCAAACAATGATAAAATAATCCTTTAGGATTGTAAAAAGGTATGATTTTGTAGCTATTGCAAAGATTCATCACCTATGGACAATTGAAAATGCAAACTCAGTAATAACAATCCAATGTCAGCTTAAAGCCTTAAACCCACTAGGAACGTACAAAACTGTGTTCGGATAGATCACGATTCAGAGCCAGTTCAAAATGTTAAACATGTCATGCATATGAATATAATATATATATATATATATATATATAAAAATAAAGCTAATATAATTAAAAATTTTAATAGTAATTATATATTAATTTCATAAAATTAAAAAAATTTAAATTTTTATATAAATATATATTATGATACTTAATTTTTATATAAAATATAATATTAATATATAAATTTTAATATTTTATAAAATAATATAAAATATAATGATATGATATAATTATAATATAAAAAAATTTAAAATAATATAATTTAAAATTTTAATCGATAATTATATATAAATTTATTAAAATTAAAAATATATATTTAAAATTTTTATATAAATATAAATTATGATATTAATTTTTATATAAAATATTATATGAATATATAAATTTTAATATTTTATAAAATAAAACAAGACATCATTATAAAAAAAAAAAAAAGATATGAATGGGCCTTGGCCTTGATCTTACATGGATGAGCCGCCCGGAGAGTCTTTAAGCTATTTAATCTGATTCTTCTCCTCAGTTTTTGGTGTAGTATAAAAAAGAGGCCTTTTGTTTTCAGATTTTTCATTTTTTTTTTGGGTAAAACATTAAGGCAGGGCTATGAAAGTAAATTACTAATAATTTACTCTGAATGTTCTCTTTAACCTGAATTAGAATGTTTCAGATTGAATGGGTCCAAGTTGATGGGCTAGTAGATGCCTACTTCTCATTGCAATTTGCAACCAGTAATTTACTTTGATTTCATTGTTTTGGAAGAAAAAAAAAAACTTCCAATTTTTTATTATAAAAACAAAATAAAACTAATACAGTAGAAAATCATGAGAAAAAAAAACCCATTTTCCATGCAAATTGAAAAAGGCAATAAAATCTAAATTAAAAAAAATTATATTCTACATTCATCTCACAAATAGATTTTATTAAAATATTAACATGAAAATTATTTTATCTTAATATATATCATAAACTAAATTTTCTTTTTTTTTGGTAAAAAAAATTTAAAGATAAATAAATTATTTAATCTCTTAGATTAAAATAAAATATATTATATCTGATAATTTAAAATAAATAATTATAAATTATATATTTAAAATGATTTTAACAAATTATTATTAATAAAATTTAAATTTAAAATTTTTTTATCGAATTAAATTAACTTTAATTAATTAAACCAACTACTCACAAATTTTCAAACAACACAAATATCTTGTTTTTAATCCAATATTTTCAAATTTTTTTATTTAATCAAATATTGTGAATAATTGAAGATTTTTTCTGCCAACCAGAAAATCAAAAATACAACTTTGGTTGTCGAAGATAGTTTAAAGAAGGGGATTATGGCAATGAATATTTTTTCTTTTAGTAGTGTGTAGCAAACGAGTCAAAAAAGCATAGCATTTATTATCTGATAAAACAGGATCATGGTCCTGGTGGACATGGTAGAGAACCTTGGGGGTTAAAAAATGAAAAAAAAAATAATAATAATAAGGTTGGAGAAACAAAAAGATCTAAGGAAGACCAGTCAACTCAGAATCCTTTTTTGTTCAGACACATCACAGAAATAACGCGTTTTTGGCGATTATTGTAGTCAACATCCTCCTCCTCATCCCTTTGAACCAGAACAAGAACATCAACAACAGTAACAAAACTCACCAACTCTCACAAACTCAATAACTCACGAAAAAGGGACAACAAGATGAAACAGAAACTTAGAACAAATTAAAAAGCTTTAATTTTTAGAGTCCTGTGAAGAAAAAAAAATTTTTTTTTTTGTTTTTTTCTATGGAAAACCCAAGAACAAGAAGTGGTGGCTTCTTGAGTTCGTCTTCTAGCCTAGATGCTTTGACTACTACATTAAGTAGCTCAATTCAAGCTCTGGGTCGTGGGTTTGATGTCACTTCAGATATAAGGCTGTTGTATTGCAAAGGGGCACCTGGGTCAAAGTTGGTTCAGCTTGATGAAGATCATACCAACGATCTTGTTTTGTCTGGTGGTGTTATTGTGCCCAATGTTTCTGTTGATATTGGGTGGTCAATGGGCAGAGGTGGCATCGAGAGAAAATCGGTTTGTAGCTTTCATGAGGTAGGCTGCGGCTGCTGTTCCCTTTTGATCGGCTTTTGATTTGTTGGTTTTTCTGATCTCATCTGTTTGTTTTTTGTGGTGTTCATATCATTTCTCCATTTTTGATTCATTATCTGTGTGGTTTTAGTTTCCCAGTTTGGCTGCTTTATTGGCTTTCTGTCTTGGTTGGATGGACATAGGGGTAATTGGGTATTTGATTCAAAGCTTAAACTTCGATATTCTCTGGGCATGCTGGGATTTCCATTTTATTTTTTACTTGCAAAAGTGCAATTATTAGACATATTTCCTAACTTGGGCCCTAGGTAGTCTGGATAGTTGCAAGGGAACTTTTGTTGTTCCTTCAAGTATGCACAATATGAACTCGATACAGTTAAAACCACTCAAGCAAGCATATCCCACGGTGTCTGTGTGTCTTTTCTATTGTCTATTGGACATTCATGGCATACTGTGATTATTGATTGCTAAAATTTTCTTGGGCCTCCTCTAATTCATTAGAGTAAAGAAGTTGACCTTGACTCTTCATGCATGCTGAAATTTACATTCTGGATATTTGGGCAGAATCCATTTAAATATAATTTTCTTATCTGTGGCACTGTCAAGTATGGAATAGAATGTGACAATGTTAAGTCAGTATAAATGTTGTTATACACACCATTTAGTTTTTCTGGATTAAGTAAGGCTTGCTTTCAACAACTGGTGTGATAATATGTTCGTTTCATATATTGTATATATGTTATGGGTGCATTCTATGAATAGCATGTACAGTGCTTGCACAATTTTATTTCATATAGCAGTTTGAGATGTAATTGTCATAAGTAAATCACAAGTGATGTTTTACCAGGGTACTGCCTAATCATTTCCTCATATCTGATTTGGGCTTGACTCACTTTGTTGATGATGTGCGATGGTTAAAGCCATTAAGCACTACCCATACTGTTTGGTTAAAGCATTGCCTCATTTCTTTTTGGCAATGAATTGCACATGTAGGTTGAAAGTCTTATATAGGAATTTTGTGTCTATATTGATGTATTGGTGTAAATTTCCTTGCTGAAGGTAAAGAAAGATTCTACTTCTATTTTTATCAATTTAGTTTAAAGTGACAAAATCACCTAATTAAGAGTAATGATTCTACTTGTAGTGGCATTTATTTGGTACGGAGTGAGAAACCCACCCTTAATGGACATCTTTGATGTTTGAATTCCAGATGTCAGGATACTTTAATGAGAAATCTGGTATATCAGGGCGTGTTCCACTTGGAAGCTTCAATGCCATGTTCAATTTCACTGGTTCTTGGCGAGCTGATGCAGCAGCTACAAAATCCCTTGCCTTGGTTGGATATTTAGTTCCCCTATGTACGGTCAAATTAGCAAACTTGAATTTAGCTCTGCATGAGGAAGTCAGACGTGCTGTTCCTTACTCTTGGGATCCCGCATCCTTGGCAAGGTAAATGGCATGGGAGTATGTTTAAAGAGTGAACATTTGTTACTTCAGCTGTACATTTCTGCTGTACTTTTTATTTGATATCTCATTTCTGTAAAGAAACCTTTTATTTGCTACTTCCATGCTATGAGGTCAAACTAATTTAATCCCAGCTCCAAATCCTTTATCTGTCAGTGATGTATCATATGTATTATTAATCTTCTCCCTCTCCTCTTATGACAAGGTACCATAGGAACCATATATAATTCTGCATTGCATCAGGTTGTTAGTGTTGACATTGATATGTTTTTCTTTACTTGTTTCAGTTTTATTGAAAATTATGGTACACACATTGTTACCTCTGCTACAATTGGTGGGAGAGATGTTGTTTACATCAGACAACACCAGTCATCTCCTTTGTCAGTAACAGACATTGAGAACTACGTGAAAGACATTGGGGATCAAAGGTTCCTGGACTCCAAAGGCCAGTCAAGTGCTGCACCATTAAAATACAAGGACAAGGTTAGCATTATGGTGTTGTTCACTTGATAAATTCAATGTCTAAATATATGCAAAACATAGTATTTTTATGACTTCCTGTTTATTACTTTGCTGTCTTGCTGTGAATGCTTAATTTTGGGGGGAAACATGTTTCTTTTTATGTTTGCCTCAAATGTGAGGAAATCTGTTGCTAAAAGAGTTCATGCTGTAGGATGTTACAGTCATTTTTAGGAGGAGAGGAGGTGATGACCTTGAGCAGAGTCATGCCAGGTGGGCAGACACCGTACAATCTGCACCAGATGTTATCAACATGACATTTACCCCCATTGTTTCTCTTCTTGAAGGAGTGCCTGGTATAAAACATTTGGCCCGTGCAATTGAACTATACTTGGAGTGTAAGTTCTCGTTCAACAGTTTCTAATGAACTTATCTGCTTGACGTGCAATTCGATTATCTTACATATATGTTAAAGTTGTTTTCTTTCTTCCTCTTCCTTTTACCAGACAAGCCACCAATTGAGGATTTACAATATTTCCTGGACTTTCAAATTGCTCGAGTTTGGGCTCCAGAACAGAGCAACATTCATAGGAAGGAACCTGTGTGTTCGTCCCTTCAGTTTAGCTTAATGGGTCCCAAGCTTTATGTTAGCCCGGAGCAGGTATTCTCTTTAAACCTAAAATTTACACTATTGGATGTTATGAGAAAAAGTGTACATGGGTTATAAAGAATGCTTCTTTTTCAAGTGCATGATTAAATTGCATCTCCCACCTTAAAGTCCAATATTTATTACCACTTAAAGAAAGGAAAACACTATTAATAAATTGAAAGCAAACATGATGCCTAGGGGACACATCTCTGTCACTTGATTTATTGCAAATGTTTCTTTCATCTTTTGGCAATGCTTGACCTTTGTGAGGCTCTAATTATAAGTTATGTCACTAAAAGTAAAAGTCGAGCCTTGAGAAGGAAATTGTTGAACAAT